ACTTCGAAGGACCTTTTCTGGTACGTATAACTCCATCTGAACCGAGGAGGTCGCTGTAGATGGAGGTTTGCTTGTTCCCCTTGGTAAAGTCACTCCTTCTATGACGGCATTCTGCTTCAACAGTCGGCGGACAACCGGGGCTGCTGATAGAGAATATCCGATTATCATGACTTCTGGTGTGAGTGGTGATGAAGGAGATAGATGTCCATGTGCAGTGGATAAGGTTCTTGGAAGCTCTTGATTAATTTAAAGTAATCAGCGATTGAAGCCTGATTACGGGAAAAGGGATTAGCGTCAGTTAGGTATCTTTAAAATATCTTCTTTTCTTTTTATCTTTTTTTTCCCTCTTTTTTTTTTTTTTTTTTTTTTCTTTTCTAAACGTTGGATTATCAAAACCAAACAAATATCAAGTTGTAAAATTATTTCTTGATATTACTGAAAGCTCTGACGGCATCGCTTATTTCAAATTTGTTTCTGACCAATTTTCTTCCGTTAAGTTGATACCCTTCTGCCAAGGGAGTATCCTGTTAGTACCCTTCATGTTGTAGTATTCTCGAATGTTCATGTATGGGACTCCCCTGAATTTCTTGACTATACAGCAAAGCGCTTCCCACCCAAATGAAATGGTTTCGAACCTGCTTCAATTTCACATTTATCCACGTTTATCTCCTGACTCAAATGACACACCGCCTCTTCCTTAACGGTAAACCATTTTCGCCTTTTCTGTCACCATATAACTATGATACAAAAGAAAACGAACAAATAATTGTTTTGAATAAAGTTTGTGGGAATCATACGCATGCTTCGGTTCTCTCACGCAGTTCACGTGCATTGCATCTATTAATGCAAAGATACTCTTATTTTCAAAGACAGTAAGGTAAAGTACCAACACTAAGATCAACGAGTGTACATAGAATCATTGCCAGGAGTCACTAGTACCTCTGACCATTCCTGACATTTGTTTCTCAAGGGACGTACAAATCACGGTCAAAAATCTACAGAATTAAAAAAAATTGATAGTTCATTATTGAAGAAAAAAATATTCTAAAGATCATAATTGAGAGACCAATGGTGAGAGCATGAACCAGTGGCATGAATGGCCTGCCACAGTTAAGTCCAACTTAAAGTCGATCTTAGTCTTTGTGAAACACTCCCCAGGCCTGTAGTAGTTGCTGGTTTGAGCTTCTTCTGCTCCACCGGAGAAATTGAAAAACTGGCCAGGTGCAAGACATTGGTGGCGCGAATCTCTGGTACGTGTCCCTTTACAAGTTTATAGTATCACCCTGACCTTATAGAGGCGTGTTTAGCATAGTGTTGTGGATGGTGGCTGTCGTAGTGGCGGACTTTTTTCATGAGCGATTGGCGGCCATCATGGTTATATATGAAGAGGTACGTGTGGTATATATGCTGTATCTGTTTTAAACGGTATGTAGCTCAGAACTGAATATGAACACCACCCTGTATGTAGTCTCTTCACTATGCATGGCTCATTAATTATCCCTGTATGGACAGACTATTATAACTACTATTATCACACATATAAGATTGTCTTGCTCATACGCAGTTGGTAAATCATAATCGAAAATTCATTTTTAGAGATACGTAGTAATTTTATTTATTTGCGTTTTTAATTATTTCATTTATCTTGGTACTCCATAACTTCTTATTGTTGGATATTTTGTCATAGCATACAAATCAAGTCGTGTATATACACTGTTGCTCATACATTTGAAATAATTTTTCTTTACCTCTTTTCATGAAATGATTGTAACGATACGATTTATTCTTGATGGATAAAGTATATAACTTAATGGGCAACAATACAGCATTACTTCATTCAAACTACTGTGTTTATTTTATAGCCGACGCCTTGAAAGAAACATGCGCAATGAGCACACAATAATTTTCATAACTTTATTACGAGTTAATAATTGTCATATAGATTTCGAATTTATGTGCAATAGCTTTCTGATCACATAACTTATTGATGAATATTTGATGTAGCACATAAATCAAATCGTATATACACCGTTGCCTATCAATTTGAAATAATTTGTGTAACCTCTTTTCTTGTGACAATCCATCTCCGGCCATGAGCCTTGAGCCTTGAGCATTTGACTGTCAAGTGGATTTGGCGCCTTATAAATCATATGTATTATTATTATTATTATTATTAACCGCTCACAATGGTGGTCTCCTACGTTCTATATTATCTCTCTAATTTATTGGAAAATATTTACTATATATTTCTTATCTTATTTGTATGCTTCGTACATGTTTATCGTATTATATAATTGTACACTATTTTCTATTTAATTACTTTTGTAAACATTTTATTCATTGTATTTGTTATTGTTCGAATGTTTGAATTTGAATTTGTATCTTTTTGAACGCAGAAATAAAATCAATCAAACAAACAATATGAGTTATTCTTGATGGATTAAGTATATAACTTTATGGGTAACAATACAGCGTACCTTTATTCAAATGTTTTACAAATTTATTTATTATAACTGACGCCTGAACACGTACATGTGCGATCAAATAACATTAAAGATTTTATTATAAGTTAATAATTGTCGAATATATTTCCACTTTTTTCAAATACAAATTAAGGCAATTATATTAATGTAGTATTCTGGTAATTCGAGAGAAGGGGGGGGGGCGGTTGTCAGGAAGGATGCACTACCAGAACACAATGACACGACTCGAGGTTGTAGGATATGAGCGGAATTTTATTTCCTACTTGAGCTAATCTGCATAAATTTCAATACAAAGAAGAAAAACCTCTGCAAAAGCAGAAAAGAAACAACAAAAGAAAGAACTCATGCAGTAACTACATGTTTAAAACCTCTTCATGTAACAATTTAGAGTCGACAATAAATGCATATCACTTAAAACAAAGTCAATGATACTTCAATATTCATTGAGTAATTCTATGTAAAAGAAGAAATGTGTTTTTTTCAAAAATATCCCCTTTAGCTATTAGCCTTTAGTCTTCAGCTACAGTATTCAATACCATAACCAATTAATAACGCTTAAGTACATGTAAATGTGTATATACTCTCATCATCATTAAAATAAACATAAGATACTCTGCTTTACATAGTTTACAAAGCCACTCCAACGGAGACGCATGGTCATTCATGCACGTCAGCTCTACTTTACTGTCAGTGAATAGATGCACACAAACTATGTACATTGTGTATTATGTACTAGGCTACACACTGTATGTGCTCATGACCTCTAATCAGTGCTGCGATTTTGACATAAAGAAGTTATTGTTTGTATATGTTGTATTATACCTTACATCTATACGTTGTTTGTTATTCAGTTATATTATATTTGGCAAAATGCAGAAATGAAATCAAATCAAATCAAAAAAATATATATATACACGTGTATTTATAATTATGAAAATAATACTGTTTTAAATTGTACACTTGTTTTTAAAACGCAATGTACATGTATATCATTGTGCAATTCAGTATATGTAACTTCGATGCATGATTCAATAAATACCATACCATACCAATTCAATTTATTTTAACTGTTTTACACTGTTCATTTCGTATTCCATTTATGTACGTTTCCATTTTTTACTGGGCAAGTCAACAACTGGGCCAGTCAGTCTTTGACGCATTGTTACGTCACCAAATTTATTTATTTATTTATTCATGTCTTCTTTATAAAAGCAGGGTGGTCCCATTCAAGCCGCAAGGCCTGCTTTCCAAGGGAGCCCTGCTGTAACAAACAAATCACATTTCAAATATCTTACAATAGTAACAATACACATAAAAATACACAAAATATACTATAAAAACATAATATAAACAAAATATAAAACATTTCATACAAATAGGAAATTAGATGAAAATGGAAGAGGAGAGACAGAGTAAACGAAGGGAAAGAGAGAGAGAGAGAGAGAGGGGGGGGGGGGGTGGTAGGAATGATTCATGTAAGCTATCGCAAAATAGAAGAAGTCAATTAACCCACTTGAATTTCACGGACATTTCGTTTAAAAATGGCACCTCGTGTGCAACAGACACGTCCTCCTTGAGTAGATGCCTGCCACGGTTATTCGTCGACTCCGACTTGCGAACAAATTAAAAGCCGATCGTAGGCCATTGCATCCCAGTATGTTAAAGGGAAATTCCGCCACATTGATAGAAGCAGAAAAATTAGAGAAACAGGTCTGTCAAGTTTGAGCAAAAGCGAATTAAAAGCAAGAAAGTTTGAATATTTTAAGGTGTGATCGATCAAACATAAATTGGCAACTCTGTGACATATATTGCGAAGTCCCTTCCAATTTGCCCTGTACTAAAAAAAAAAATTAAAAATGTATATTTTTCCCTTTAAATTTTTTTCTATCATAGATGAATCTGAAATATAACTACTATGGCTGCAAATAAGTTTTTGTTTACAACCCCTGTATGAAACTAGCCTATTCCGTCATCAATAGAGTACCGTAGCTGTGACATCATAAAACTCTATTTTTAGAATTTCTCAATTGTTTTTCTTTATTTTCCGAAAGACATTAAAAGATTATGTCCAAATGTAAAAAAAAAAACAATTGAATATGTTAAGATATGACCATCTGAATAAATATATTTCCAATAGGAACTCAGTGTTATTTTGCTCTGGCTCGTAATGTTATGAACCAGAACAAAAAAGTGAGTCCTTATACACCGATTCGGGCGACTTCTGGTGGAAGTGCGCCCTCATAAGGTGACGCCATAACTGGGGGGCGTCTGACTGCAGCTAGCTAGCTTACATTGGATGTCAGACTCACAGGTCGGTAGTTGGCTGGGTCATTCTTCTTGCCCTTCTTGAAGATTGGAACCACTATTGCTAGTAACCGCTCTCGAGCTCTCTGTACTGTCAGCTGGATCGGAGAAGCCCCCCAGTTATAGCGCCGCCACCGGCGGGCAGGTACATAAAACCCCCAAACCGAATCGGTGTATAGGAAGTCTATCTATTCAGATGGTTATATCTCAGCCAATATTTAACACATTCAATCGGTTTTTCGATATTTTGGAAATTATTTTTTATGCTCTATCGGAAAATGAAGGGGAAAAGAAATTGAGAAATTCTAAAAATACGTTTTTAATGAGGTCACACTTCACCATTCTATAACTAACAACATTTTGGAGAGTAGCTTGCGAACTACGTAAGTGTTGCCAATTTGTATTTCACTGATGAAAACTTTAAAAATTCATAACTTCCCTATTTGTTATCGAAATTGCTCAAACTTTCACTGATTTGCTATGTTTCTCTCATTTTCCGCTTTGATTAAAACCAAGATAACATCTTTAAGTACGTCTATGCCTAGAGCTGGACATATTATGGTTGTGCCTGAATTTCCTTTTTTGACACAACAAAAATTGTTTCCTGTATAACTGACCATCATAAAAATTATATCCATGATGTATAGAAGGAAAAAGATACAAATAAGAAAACTGTAGATAATTTTGTTATATCTCCACGGGGTGTGTTTGTTACATCTTCGTGGTTTGAGAGACGAGAGTGAAAAGCTTAACATGAAAGTCAGTGCATTACCATTTTACAAAAGTCCTAGTGAAATTCAGAACCTATCGTTCCTGGGCTAGGATTTTAAAGTTCTTTGGCGCAATGGTGCCAAGACAGTGTTCAAAGCCAAAGTCGCCAGACTCGCCTTCAGGCAAGCGAAAGCGGAATCTCTGCATGAGGGTAGTAGCGAAGAGGAAGAACTCCATCCGGGCTAGCTGCTCACCAAGGCATACACGCCGACCTGTACACACATGGAAAAATAAGACCAATGAAGACTTCACCAAAAACAATTATTGTATAATCAGTAAAACAAACTTTATGATACCGTTCAATACGTTGTAAGCGTCTTGCACCATTATTATACGATTGTGGTAACATACTTCAACAAAGCTTTCAACATACCAAATACAACTGTCGTTGCTCACTTGTTTGCACTCTGCCACTTGCCAAAAATTCAACCAACTGCTGAGTCCTGTGATTTCTCCTTTATTTTTATATACACTTAGAGCTCTATATATTTCACGAGCGATTTGCCACATAGCCGCTGAGATCCTGAGAATTGGTTATGATGGCACCCGCCCACAATTTGTTCAATGGCAAAGATTTGTTGTTTTGTTGCTGTTGTTGTTGTTTTTTTTTTGTGGGGGGGGGTCTGTTGTTGGTCTGTTCTAGGGCTCGTCTTTACGCCTGAGGAAGAAAACGTTTTATATATTAATGCAGTACTTGCCAACATCGAGATGGACCAGCTACATGCAGTATCATGAATGTAGCATTACAGAGGATCTTAAAATTAAGCCCATCATATTATGTTTGGTCTACAAACATTGTTACGCCCCTATTGTCAACCTTGTTAATGAAGGCAACACCATTCTCAGATATCCTTACCTGCACCAAAGACAGTGAAAGCATCCTGGGGTTTAATCACTGTCTTTCCGTCTTCACTGAGGAAGCGATGAGGGTTAAACTCTTCTGGTTCGTCCCACAACCTCGGATCCAGGTGTATACCAATGATATTGATCATAATTTCGGTGTCTCTCGGGATAGTGTACTCGCCGATCTCGACGTCTTTGGCGGTGACATGAGGGACACCAAGCGGAGCTACAGGTCTGAAGCGAAGGACCTCTGTTAAGGTGGCATCTGTGTACGGCATGTCCTTACGATCTTCCATGCAAGGTGCTCTCTCGCGGCCAACAACAAGGTCGATCTCACTTATAACCTGTCAGACATTAATTATAAATGTAACAGTACATTGGTACATGAAATGCGGGCGATCCCCAGAATCAATTTGATATATCTATAAGGAAAATAACAAAATATAATGCAGATGTAACCGCAAGTCATGCTCCAACAACAATTTCTCTGCGGTCACTATACCCTACACAAACCAAATCCCTAACCTAAATCATGGATCACACACTCTGCGAAACATTTATCTAACCACAAACCTAACAGAACCCTTCCATGAAATAAAGCCTGGGTTTATATGTCGGATCATAGTATGTCCAGTTCACTTCCTGTCTTCAACAAGTTGATTTGACGAAATCTCTAACATGTCATTTCTTGTTTGGTACTAGCTTACCTGATGGAAATCAACTTGACAGAAGGGCCTACAGCAAATATTTCTTCTCGTTGGTTTAGCCCTCAGTCTTGTAATGTAAATTGCATGAAACAGTAAGATATAAAAATAGAACCTGGTGGGCTGTTTACCTTTTCTTGTACATCAGGTTTGGCTGCCATTACGAGGAGGAACCAGAGTAACGCCGTTGATGTGGTCTCCGTTCCTGCAAGGAATAGATCGAAAACGCACATCCAGATGTCGTCTTTGTTCAAGTATGGTTTCGTTCTGTCCTCATTTGTCTTCTTCTTCTCCTCTTCCAGTCTTTCTGCTTCGGTCAGGTACATATCAATAATGTCCCGGATGTCACTGGAATGGTAGCTTTCAATGTGCTCTATCACCTCCTTCGTTATAAAGTTCTGAGAAGTGGTACAGATACACAAAGATTTGAAAGGTACTTGGTATCAAAAAAGGATAATTCTACAACTGATAGCCCTTGCAGACACTTATGGCCATTGCGAACGCCTCACTGGGTTGTTGGGCAATCACATTACATCGCATATTGATGCCCTCCCTACCCATGCCAAATGTCTTGAAAGTTGAAATGTGATATAATGAGGCTTTAAATCAAAATCTTTGGATAAAGTGCTGCAGATCGGGACCTCCTAGTTGACCCAATAAAGATTCACAAAATCAAATGCTCATGAGGCCGTACGTTCACATGTTACACTAATAGGGACATTAAGATTTGCGTGGACTGAAACGTGTGACGTCCATTCAAGGCAGTGCATTAAAAGGTCATCGATCGTAGCAATCCCCATTGTCTTCGTGCGAATCTTTAAGTCCCTATTGACGAGATAGATGCACATGCGATAGCATTACGAATAGAACAGGGACCCGTTTCACAAAACTTGTCATCAGTGACAAATGACAGTCTTTGTTATAAGCTACTGAAACCCTTGCTTCTGATTGGTTATCAGCAGACTTGTCACTAATTTTTGTCACTGAAAAAATGCTCTGTGAAACGGGTCCCAGGCCCGTCCCCTATCCTTCAATATCGCTTTGCTTCCTTACCTTGACTCCCAAAAGGTTTGCCTTGGGCTTCCCCAGAAGTGGGGTCTTGAGGAGGATGGGAAATCGCATCATCAGCTCCCGGATTATAGGGTTAATCCCGACCCCGCTTGTAACGTTTCTCAGCCTCTGGATCATATCCATGAAGACCGGGTCATCGTACTCCAACCTCCTCCCGAAGGTGATACTGCAGATGATGTTGGAAACGGCGGCGTTGGTAAGATGCATGGCGTCGAACGCCTCACTGGAGTGTTGGGCAAACGCGTTACAGAGGTTGCGGGCCTCTTCCTGTATTCTCGTCTCAATGCCCTTCCTACCCATGCCAAAGTTGCGTAGAGCTGAGAGACTGAAACGACGTATCTCCTGCCAGGGTTCCCCATCACTGAAGATGATGCCGCCTAATAAGTGGATTAACTGTTTTTTATTGATGTTTTAACATGTAAACAAAAAATATGATTTAAGTACACATCATTTAAGCTTATCCCACTGCTGCCACCGTGTCAATGAGTAGAATTTACCCCCATGGGTTTAGCTTGGATGTGTGTGTAAAGGAGGGGGATCCAGGCTGAACATGCCAAACAAAGTGAATCGTGTGGCTAATGGTAGACTAACTACTATGAACGTATCTGTGGAACAAAGGTAATAGACGTTGTTGGCTCAACAAGTTCATTTCAAAGGCCTTTGTGGTCGTGGATGATAAATTTTGTTACTGATAATTATATTTGGCTGATTATCGCAAAGATGAAAATATAGAGTTCATCGAATATAAAAGAAATCTTTTCAAAAACCACATACCTGGATTAATAAAACTAATGTGAACACGATCTCAAAGACTTTCGAAAAATCAAACTTGGGCAGTTTCAATAGGCCTAGCCTTGCCATCGCCCACCGAAGTGTGCAAACAATGACGTATTAAATAATCCGAACATGATTTCCATGGAATACCGAAAAAGGGTATTGAAATCCCCTTGGGTTGATGCCTCGAAAGTCCTAGCGATCATGTTTGTAATAATAATGGCAAACAGTGGGAGATGTACCTTTATAATCCATCACAGAGGTAAAGAAAGGGGGTGCTGATCTGTTAGATGTCACGTCTGCTTGTTTCACGATAAGTTCTTTGACAAGACTCGGGCTAGATATCATAATTATCATTCTCCTGCCGAGCTGCAGACATGTTATGTCACCATATCTGAAAATGGAAAGGAAAACGTGTGAAGAAATCTTTGTAGTCCACATGACCATTGTATTGTCAACCCATGAGACATCCATCAGAAAGTGAATGTCTAGAAATTCAAAGAATACTTACAATCGTAAACAAGATCAACACAAATTAATCAGTTTCAGACACTAATGCTATGGTCACATTACCCAAAAGTAGTCTGCTCGGCGGCCGAGCGGCGAGTTTTTAACCAATTCTGGCCGGCGGCTGCCCGGCCACCGAGCGGCGGCCGCCCAGGCACCGCTCGTTTTTAAGGCATCGCTCGGTCGCCGCTGAAGTTTTAGCGCGGAGTTAAAATTTGGGCGGCGCCTGCTCACTTTTCACTCGCCGCCCAAAATACGCTCGGTGCCTGGGCGGTCGCCGCCCGGGCACCGACCTAATCGCTGGGCGATGCCTAATTCCAGCAGCGACCGAGCAGGCTACTGATCGGTCGGTCGCTGCTCTGATTTGTGACCATAGCTTAAGACATATTGTATTATTGTTTTTGTTTGTTGAATTTTTATTTCTGTGTATTTTTTTCAATTAGGAGAATGAACGAAGAAAGTGTGCAAACATGGATTGTCAAATAGTTTTGATTTGCACAAATAACTCAATCGGCATCTTGTGCAACAGGCGTACAATAAATTGATCTATCATTCAAAATACAATTGTTAAAGTACTTCAAGAAATGTTGAATAACTTCGATATTTACCTCTTACTTAAGAAAATCATTCTGCCGAAGCGGTTGCTTGACGGGAACAGTGCCATGAGGAAATCGAAAGGATAAGGAATGACCGGTGGGCCAGGGGGGAGACGGTAGTGGAACGACGCCCCGTAGTTCATGCGGATATACCAGAAGGTCACAAGGCAGATAGTGATGGTGGTCAGGAGGTTGGCTATCCCGATATACTCGATCACACTCAGGAGAAGATTTACTACAGAAGACATGGTGGTTTTTAGAGTGCGCTATCCAATGTCACCAAGTTGTTCGTATCTCAAAGTCTCCTCGACAGGATCAAATCTAAAACTGTCAAGGTGGACAAAAAAGCAAGGATGTCATGTACTTGAAACGAATTACAAACCCTGCGGCTCATATAAATTTGAACTTTGATCGGCAATCATTAAGTTTGCATGTGCAGACTTAAAGCAATATAGAAACGGAAGTAAAAGTGAACTTTGAGTTTGTCAAACTGGCATTTAAAAAGTAAATGAAGCCATGCAAGCACTAAAAGTTGTTTAATGGTGGAAGAAATTATTTGTAAACTAATAATATAACTAGCATGTGACACCCTCCCCCCCCCCCCCCCCTCCCTCCCTGTGATGCACTAAGGCCTTACTAACAACAATGTACTCCTATAGAGAGAATTCAGAAACTATCTTGAAGAATAATACCAGGACATCAGTCCATTACATATTAGAATGCCTTGCAAATTAAACATTAAATCATTTGAAGGGATATTCACTCCTCTTCAGAGCCTGGTTGCCTTTTACCAGACAGAAGAGTTACTTCCTATACTAGAACGGAATGATATAGACAAAGCCCAATCCCATATCTTGTTAGTTTGCTAAATGCATCTGAACTTCTATGAACCATATATTATGACTTCGTACCTATATTTTGTTTTGTTATACTCTATTTCTCCCTCTTTATCTCCCCTCTCGTTATCTTTTCCTCTTCAAAAACTCTCCCTTTTCCTCTCTCTCTTATTTTAATTCTTATTCTCTACTCTTCTGTCTTTTGTTTCTTCCTCTTTTTCCCCTTACCCTGTGTCTACATACAACTTTATTCACTTTGTCATGGTTCATAACACTACCAGGCTAAGAGATTTGTCCACATGCATAATATATTTGAAATGGATATTGTTACGTTATTATAAGCGTCTATATAAGTTGATTATATGAATGTGGTAATGAGTATATTTTTTTTAAAATCAACACGAGTTATTGATTATATAAATTGAACATTTGGATTTTTACCATAACCATTTTCAGTGGGGGGGGGGGGGGGTGTAAAACTAGACACCAATTAACGACAAATATATTAATGCCAATGTCCCAATGTCTACATATTTAACCCTATAAACCCGGGGCCAGGAGCTAAATTATTGTTCAGTTTCCCCCTCCCGCGCGATGCGCGGAAGCCTTGACATATCATTCAATTATTAGAGAAAGAAGACAATTCGTTGTACCGTTCTCTACTCTTAATCCTTGTCGGAATTCAGTTCCCCCCCCCCCCCCCCCCCCACTTTGACGATTCATTAAATTATAAGACAAGGAAGAGGATTCGTTCTACCGTTCTTGTCTCTTAATCCTTGTCTGAATTCAGTTTTCCACACCCGCGCAAAGCGCGGAAGCTTTGACGTTTCATTAAATTATTAGAGAAAGAAGACGATTCGTTGTAACGTTTTATACTCTCCATCCTTGTCTGAATTGAGCTTTCCCCTTCCGCACGAAGCGCGGAAGCTTTGACGTTTTATTGAATTAATAATTTTAATCCTTGTCTGAATTCATTTTCGCACATCCCGCGTGAAGCGCTAAGGCTTTTACGTTTCATTGAATTATTAGAGAAAGAAGACGATTCGTTGTACCGTGTCCTTGTCTGAATCCAGTAACCCCCCCTCTCCCGCGCGAAGCACGGAAGCTTTGACGTTTCATTAAATTACACATCTTAATCCTTGTCTGAATTCGTTTTCGCACATCCCGCGTGAAGCGCTAAGGCTTTTACGTTTCATTGAATTATTAGAGAAAGAAGACGATTCGTTGTACCGTTCTCGACTCTTAATCCTAGTCTGAATTCAGTTGCCCCCCTCCTGCGCGAAGCGCGGACGTTTTGACGTTTCATTAAATCACTAGAGAAAGAAGACGGTACGTTGTTCTGTTTTCGACTCTTATTCCTTGTCTGGATTCAGTTTTTCCCCGCCTGCGCCAAGCGCGGAAGCTTTGACGTTTCATTAAATTATTAGAGAAAGGGGACAATTCGTTGTACTGTCTTCGATTCTTATTCCTTGTTTGAAAGCTTGGAAGTTTCATTAAATTATTACTCTTAGTCCTTGTCAGAATTCAATACCGCCTCTCCCGCGCGAAGCGCGGAAGCTTTGACATTTCATTAGATTAGTAGAGAAAGAAGATGATTTGTTGTACCGTTCTCGACTCTCAATCCTTGTCTAAATTCAAATTTCTCCTCCGCGCAAAGCGCGGAAGCTTTGACGTTTTTAAGTTATTAGAGAAGAAGACGATTCGTTCTACTGTTTTTACTCTTAATCCTTGTCTGAATTCAGCTTTCCCCTTCCGCACGAAGCGAGGAAGCTTTGATGATTCATTTAATTAATACTTTTAATCCTTGTCTGAATTCATTTTCGCTGTACCGTGTCCTTGTCTGAATCCAGTATAACCCCCCCCCCCTCCCTCTCCCACGCGAAGCGCTGAAGCTTTGACGTTTCATTAAATTATAAATCTTAATCCTTGTCTGAATTCGTTTTCGCACATCCCGCGTGAAGCGCGAAGGCTTTCACGTTTAATTGAATTATTAGAGAAAGAAGACGATTTTGTGTTCCGTTCTCGACTCTCAATCCTTGTCTCAATTCAAGCGCGGAAGCTTTGACGTTTCATTAAGTTATTAGAGAAGAAGACGATTCGTTCTGTTTTTTACTCTCAATCCTTGTCTGATTTTTTTTTCGTCTCCCGCGCGAAGCGCGGAAGCTTTGACGTTTCATTAAATTATTTGAGAAAGAAGCGATTCGTTGCATCGACTCTGAATCATTGTCTGAATTTTCAAAAATGTTTCTTTGTCCGATAGGGAAAGAAAAAAAATTGCCGGCCGACCGACATAGTATATCTCACCGACTTCAAACTTCTGCATTGATATAGTACACAAGGTTCGAGCAGTATACCGACACTGCGGACCCGACACAGCAACATAATTATCCTTGCGTATCTTTCTTGCTCCCTCGACGTGGCGACTCCACCCAACATCCCCTTTCTCTCTTACTCCTACCCTCCTCTCTCAGCCTCTTACCCCCGTCTCTCTCTCTCCTCTCTTTTCCCCTCCCCCTTTTCTCATTTTTCCCGACGGCAGCGCAATTTTACCGACACCTACAGGTGGGGGTGTCGCACCCCCACTCCCCACACATCCACATCCCCTTTAGCGACCCCCTGCCCATTTGGTGAAAGGCTCATATCATACAAACCTAATTATCTTGATCTTAATAACCCTGGTTATGTTTGAGAGACCAACTGCAAACTTTCCTCCAAGTTCAGAGCAAAATCGTGAAGGTCACCGTTTACGCCTTAAACTTTTTTTTTCCTTCATTTTTTAACGAAAAAAAACTCTTTGATTTCGTTGAAGTGTGCATAAATTTCTGAACCAGACCTACCATTCTCAAATCCCAATGTATGACATTGCTAGTGCCCTTTAAGAACCAAACACTGCTATGAAGGTAATTTTAGACCCCAAAATGTGTGAATTTAGATTAAATACGATCATACCAATTCAGCTTCACTTTTTAAAAAATACGGCGAACGTTAATTAATTTATTAATTTATAATAACAATACACAGGCCGGCTGGTTGTGCGTATTACAACCAACACGAAAAGCCAACAACAAACCAATATTGGCATTGGCTGGAATAAAACATATAAGGCGCTATCTTGATTTTCAACGGCTAGTTCAAATTACCGAAGAATTATTGTGGGGCACCACAAATATTAGTAATGGTTATATGTAAGGATATTTCAGCCGTCTCTGAACCGATTTTGATCAAAGATGATTTTGTCATTCAATTTGTATTTTCTTTCAAATTTGACTCTCAGTTTTCCATTATCGCACACAAAAATTATTTTGAGTTGCAACAAAACTCAACTATTTGCTTCTCCTGTACTGCGGAGATCCACTACTTCTACTACAAAAACAGCCCCTGGATGAGAGTGATTCGGGAGTAATCCGTTACAGACCCACGCTGTAGAGGGGGAGGGGTGTGGGGATTTGAATGAGTAAATACATACGGAAAAAACAAAAACAAAATTCTTCTGATTTGGCAGGGTATAGGGGTGGATTGGTGGTTTAATTAAAAATGGGATGCTGCCAGATGAAACCCCTCCTCCCTCCACTAGCCCGTAACCAACCATTAGTTGTCGAATCGACTTAAGAGCTATAGAGCCAGTAAGTAATAATCTGATTTTCAGACCATTGTACTGAATGGTCGTACGTCTTATGCTGCGCAAAGATTCAATCAGTTTGATTTTGGCCATTACAAGAAGTGGGTTATTGATGTAGACAAATGCTCATGTACCCTCTACAGCTCATTTTATATATGTTATTATATACCAAAGAAGAAAAAAAGCCAGTCAGTCACTCAATAGTGTCTGGCAGTGAAGTCTGGCAAGTAAACGGGTTTCCTTGCATAATTTGAATATTAGGACACTGCTAACGTTTAAATTTCACAGATAGGACATACATGACATATTCATAATTCCTGCAAAGTTCTACAGAATTTAATGTTGGCTGCAAAAGGGACATAGTATCTTTAACCCCTACCCCCCCCCCCCCCGCTTGCCTCTTACCAGGTTACATGACTATGCCCAACCCATTCTCATCACCCTCAAACATGGGTGTCGATCCCGGGGGGGATGGGGGGGATATATCCCCCCCCCCAAATATTTCAGGTGGAGGGATGGCCTGTACAATCATCCCACCCCCCCCCCCCCCAATAATTCACCCTCAAAAAAAAATTAAGAGAAAAATTTATGATGAGAGCCCGATGAGAGTAGTTAATGGTTATTACTCGCAAGATGACCGTCAATATACACATTTTGTTATCTCATTTTCATAATACATAGATATATACGAGGTAAATGAGACAACCGTATATGAGACGTCAAGAATAAATTGAATTCTCGCTCATACGGCTTCATCAGGAATTGATGAATTTATTCAATTTGTTCAATCAACAGCATCATAGAAATGCAGTGCGCCAAATGCAAAGACGCAGCGTTAAAAAGCAACGAGCTAAATGTTAAGCGCGAAGCGCAAAAGTAGCAATCTGCAACATCAGACAATAATTTAAACATAGATGAACTCTGTGACAAATTCGTGATGAGATCGGAGACAAGGAGAAAGATTTTCGGACATTAGTATGACTTATAAGATAGTTCACTAGTTGTTATGTCGTTTCCGTTCACCCTTTTAAAAATTCACGTCATTGTATCTTTATTTTTATTTTTTTTACTCATTTTATTTCCTGATATTTCCTTTAAAAAATTCATTTTTGGAAAACGAATATTATGTCACAACTTATTTTTATTTTATGAAAAGCTGATGTAGGCCTATGTAACTGGCGTATTTCATACAAGTGATTTATTAATTTTCGTGATAACACATGATTTTCAACATAATTCGCGTTTCTCCATTTCAGTTGCAAACTGACATATTCCCAAATAGCCAGGAAGAGCATATTTTGTATAGTCACTAATGGGCCTAATTAGTGGCCGTTAAACACTAACAGTAGTATACAATTCCTTTCCAGAAGCTATTGCGACAAGCACTGCCGGGAGATAACATGCTACCCATCATTCGGGCTGTGCATGCAAAGATTTGCAAACGAACGTTCCATACGTACATCGTGTGGGGAAACGGAATTCAGACAAGGATTAATATAGAGAACAGTACAACGAATCGTCTTCTTTCTCTAATAATTTAGTGAAACGGCAAAGCGCGCGGGAGGGGGGCAACTGAATTCAGACTAGGATTAAGAGTTATAATTAAATGAAACGTCAAAGTACACGATACAACGAATCATCTTATTTTTCTTATAATTTAATGAAACGTGAAAGCTTTCGCGCTACGCGCGGGATGGGCGAAAATGATTTTAGACGTAGATTAAGAGTAATAATCAAATGAAACGTCAAAGCTTCCGCGTTTCGCGCGGGAGGGGGGAAACTGAATTCAGACAAGGATTGAGAGTCGAGAATGGTACATCGAATCGCCTTCTTTCTTTAATAATCTAATGAATCGTCAGAGCTAAGCGCGGAGGAAGGGGAACTTGATTCAAACAAGGATTAAGGGTCGAGAACGGTCCACCGAATCGTCTTCTTTCTCTAATAAGTTAATGAAACGTCAAAGCTTCCGCGCTTCCGAAAGCTCCCCCTAATTCCCTGCACCCAACCCCCTAGCTTTGCGTGCTCACTACCGCCCCCCCTAAAATTAAATCCTGGCTACGCCCTTGGGGAGGGGTGCAACCTGCCACACGCTTCTACCTCTTGGTTGCTTTGATCCATTGCCGAAAATATTTTGGCACCTATCATCCCCCCCCCCCCCCAACCACGGATACAAATCGACACCCTTGCCCTCAAACAATCCTGCCCAATGTTCATTATCAATAAACCCCTTAAAACCAAGTAGGTAATTTATACTCCTTTTAATTTATATCCCCTTAACCACCACCACCCCCCCCCCCCCTCCACTAGCCCCTTACCATTCAGGCTAAATCACCAAGCCCAACCCATTCTCATCACCCTTAACCAATCTTGCCCAATGTTATACCCCTTAAAAGAGCGAAGTAGATGATACTCCTACATAATATATATCATTCCCTTTTGAAAGCAGGCCATTGAACAAGTAGGTTTGTAGAATCAATAACCAGTGTGTCACTATAAACATGGTAACTCCATGCTGTAAAACCCCTTTGTGCGCTCCCAGGTGTACGGCCGTATAGTATGACACAACATATGCATGTAGAGGTATCGACTGAAGCTAGGAACCAAAAACAATAAAACACCGTAATTTAGAATGCCGTATGTATTAGAGCGTTATAACGCCGTAAAGAAAGGGGAAAATGGCGGAAATCTGCCACCTTTGCAATGTCACTCGGTAGTTCTATCAACAATTTACTAGTAACTTCTTGGTTCTATCAACGCCACGGACATACTACCTAGTACTAGTAGGTCCATTGTTCTATACCATACGTGTAGTTCAGCCGCCTTGTTCCGGAGCGCCCCGAAATATGGAAAATAGACCGTCATTTCTCACCTGATTCTGACGTGTTTGAAATAAAGTGCGCCGCCGAAAATTGTTATTAAGTCATACCCTATCTCGATTAGTTCGAATACATTTTTAAAATTACCTTAAAAATATACAAATCACTCACATTTTCAAAGAACAAGAGAGGAACAAGCCCCGTACTCTGTACACCCAGGCGTTGGGTGTCCGGACATGTTGTGTATCAGTTGAGGTCAACGACGCCGGAGCTCCGTGGTGTTAAAATCTTTTAAGACTTTAGGTTGGGCAATATTGCAAGGCAAACATTCATGGTGGTTAGTGCTGTTTGGTGAATATTTTCTATTAAAGCCGAATGCAAAAGAGAATTGTTATTCTTCTTTATGTGTGTCCGGACATGCAACCCCCCATCCAGTGGCGTACGCAGGATTTTTTTTTAAGGGGGGGGGGGGGGGGGGTTTAAAATCGGGCCCAAAATTTCGCAACGACTCAACTTTTTTATTTTGCTCCCGAAAATTTAAAATCGCGCCGGCCGAAAATGTCGCTCAGTGAGAGGGGGGTAAGAGGACACTTGTTTTTTGTTTTTTTTTGGAGTCCAAAAAAAATCGCAACGACTCAGCCAGCCGAAAAGTCGCTCAGTGAGGGGGGGGGGGGGGGGGGGGGGGGGGGGTAAGAGGACACTTTTTTTTTACATTGGTCTCGAAATTTCAAAATTTGTCAAAATCAAAAGGGGGGGGGGGTTTTCACAAAAATCATACTCAAAACATACACATAAAAAAACACTGAAGGGGGGGTTTAACCCAAACCCCCCCCCCCCCCCCCCCCCCCCCCCCCCCCCCCCCCCTGCGTACGCGCCTGCCCCCATCATACAGTAAGTAGTAGACTCACTTACTTTGCCTCACAATTTAGCGGAATATTGTTTCAGTATTTATACATACAAATTCCAAGTACAAAGTACAGTCAGGGCGCCCTTGTATAGTCGTTATAGATTAAGGGGCGGCCTAGGCATGGATATGCATGGGCCCAAAGAACTGCAAAAATAATTATGTGCACGCATGGGCCTGCATGAGGCTCTTAAGCTTTCCCTTTGCCTCGATTTGATTTCCATGAAAGCAAATGTTATGAAAAAATGGGCGAAATTAATTGAGTTTGAGTTTGAATTTGAGTTTGAGTTTGAAGTTTATTATCCAAAACAAAAAGTACATTAATATAACAATCAAATGTGAATGATTAATTAACATTGAAAGGATAAATGGGACCAGAAAATAGCATTTAATGCTAATCGTGTCTAGTACCACTAACACACAAAAAGTATCACAGCAATAAATGAGAATGTAATGAATAAATATGAATAACTATTGAATACATACTTAAGCTACAAACTATTCTACATCTAGGGTAAATATGTTCTGTGCTTATATACAAAGCTTTGGTATTTTACACTAAATAAAAGATGAAGAATTATATAACATAATATTTACAAAAAGGCAAGAGCCTTGGTTCTAAGTTATAAACAACTATTTTATTAACATTTGTGATATAAGAGTTCTACGAAAGCAAGACACTGATGCTTTCTTCCGTATACAGAAAGGGGTAGATCATTCCAATAGCTTGTGCCTCTGAATGACATTGAAAATTTACCTTGCGTTGTCCTTACTTTAGGCACAATTAACTTCTTACTTTCTCTTTGTCTAGTCTCATAGTTGTGCTCTATGAAACAGCAATACTGAATTAGAGACTGTGGCAATTTATCATTCAATAATTGATACATAAAAACACAAATAGATAATTTATGGAGTTGATACACATTCAATAATTTTAGCTCCTGGAATATCGGTTGTGAATGAGTCCTAATTGGACTAAACGTTATAACTCTTAGTGCCATCTTTTGGCTTAATAATAAACTCTTGATGTTCATTTCATAATTACTTCCCCAAACCTCAATTCCGTAGGTCATAATGCGGTTAATTAATCAACATAATTATATTAAGAATAAGACATATGGGTGTGTGCCGCTCTAATGCATGAGTCACTTTTTCACGAAAAATCCCTAAACATCCCGTTTTTAACAACAATATCCCTACACATGGGTCCGGTTTTTCAAAGTCTTGAAAAATGGGCTTTACTTCGAGAAACATCCTCATAATGACCCTTCGAAATGGGTAAAGGTTTCGATGCTTGAGCGGCACACCCCCCCCCCCCCCCCCCATGCAAGTTTATAATTATTATAAATGATCATAGTCCTACGTTTTTGTATACGTTTCTTAATTTCACTAGGTAGTACAGCGCCCGTGGCAATTATTGGAATTACTCAAATATTATTGAAAAAATATCGATCGTTATATGCCCTGTAGTCCGAACGCATGCAGACTGCAGTCCTGATCGTAGCTTCGAATGAACGTGAGAGAGCGATGCACCGTATCCCCCCTGGACAATCCCCCCCCCCCGAAAAATACCACCCCGAAAAATAACCACCCCCCCCCCCTCCTGCGGGGACTTATTATTTTTTGGTGTGAAAATATGGGTATTTTTATACATAGAGAGATGGGTATTTTTATACAGAGAGAGAGAGAGGGAGAGGGGTGCCATTTGGGGGCATCAAAAAGGGCTCTTTCTGGTTTTAAAAAAGGTCATCTGCAAAGGGAAACCTTAAAGCGGAAATAAATTTATTACCAGGGATGATTTCAATGTTTGTTTCTCTCTTTACATGCTTAGCTTCATACATGTACTTTGCAGATGGGTGTGATGGTCTGAATATTAATTTGCGAGCGAGCGAAGCGAACGAGCAACAAAATTCAGATTTGTGAGGTCGCAGAGCAAAAAATTACAAGCAATATGATCATGGAAGACTTTTTTAAAGTATCATGATTATATCGACTATGAACGCGAGAGAGAGCGAGCGCAGCGAGCAAGTTTTTTTGGGAAATTAAATAATAAGTTGCTCCAATTCACTTCAAATTAGGCCTAAAAAAAAAATTGATGACTTGGCGTAACGGGTCACTGAAAATTAGGGTAGGTAGGGCGATTTTTTTTTTTTTTTTTTTTTTTTTTTTTTTTTTTTTTTTGCTTATATTTGCATACATGAAATTACCCATTCATACACATACATACATACAGTGGCGTAGATAGGTCCTCAGACCTTGGGGATGATCTGATGAGAGGGGTAGACCACAATATGTTCAAATATAACTCCACGCACACACACACACACACACATGGACACACATATATGGACACACACACTGTGTGAGCAAAGTGAGCAAGAAATTGTTGAAATCTTGATCACCTTGGGACCAGGGGGATGCATACATACACCTGCCCCCCCCCCCCCCTGCATACATACATGTACATACACCCTCATGCACATGAAATGCAAACATACGAACGCATTAATAGGTTTCCAACAGACCCCAGCCTGAGATATCTCAGACACTGTCTTCAACAGGATAAACAGGTGAATATGTAGGTTTAGAAGGGGCTGTTCACAAATATTAGTATTTTCACAATGTATTGACTAGCATTTATATAACTTGTCTAGAGGTTAACATGTTAACATGTTAACATGTATCCAAAATCTTGAAGAATGAGGGTTGAAAAGAGTAGCCAATTGCAACTTGTGAAAATATTTACAATTGTGAATGGCTCTGTAATAACAAACAGTTAAAAAAATGTCTCCAGTATTTCAGAATCCTTTATCAAAAAACAAACAAACAAACAAAAAAAAATTTAAAAAAAAAAAATTAAAAAAAAAAAAAAAAAAATTAAAAATTAAAAAAAAAAAAAAAAAAAGTGTAGGGTCGGCGATAAAAATAGGGTCGGGCGGGTTACGCCAAGTCATCAATTTTTTTTTTAGGCCTTAGGGGTGCATGTTGTGGAGAAAGAAAAAAGGACATTTATAAGAAGGGAAAATCGGACTAGAAAAGAAATGGAGCACTTATCAAAGTAACAAGGGCAATTATTAGAGTTGAAAAAGGGCACTTCTCGCACCTTAATAGAGGCACTCGATCACCATAGATGAAAAGGGGCACTTCTTATGTCTGTTATAAGAAAAAAAGGAGCTCGTGTCAAAATAAAAGGGTGTTTATCCAACAGGGTGAAAGAACACTTCTTACAAAAGGAAAGGGGCACTTGTCAAAGTAAAAAGGGGCATTTTGGGGGGTACTTGAAAAAGTTGGGATGGCACTGTTTTGTATTTCTATATACATAAATTCTACCGAATTTTCATAAACGGTCGGAAATACGGGTAGTCTACACATACTAGATAACAAATGTAAACAATAACAAAAATCAGCTGGTTCGAACAAAGCACATTAACTGAGTGAGAAATACGTCCGCGGGATGGACTAAATTCTAACACACACATACTGTTAGGACACCTAAAATTGATCATATAAGCTACAACATTTTACGGGATTCTTCCACAATTTTGAAATGATGCCGTCCAATCCCTCCTTCACTTGTGTTAGCAAGAAGAGACAGAACTACATAAAAATGCGGAAGTAGTATTTGAAAAGCAATTATGAAATGAGTGTGATGCGGTCACATGTGGGAAATAACCACGCACAGTACGTACGGTACGCAAGAGGCGCATACAGTTAACATACAGAATTAGTATTTCGGAAGAATTGCGGATCGATGCGGCGCGGCGGATATCTAAGTCGAGTTAAGTTCTACATGGAATAAAATTCACATTCTCTTCATATGAGGGTAACCCATTCTTTGGAAAATAATAGGAACAGCACATCATCAAAATGGGTTGCTGTACGAGGCAGTGTTCAATGATAACATTATGTATCTTACAGCTGGTAAGTGTACCATGTATTTTTGAAATTCATCTCATGTCAATAACTATACCGGTATGCAGGAGGTTGGAGCTGGAGGAGACTACCGGCTGCTTCTGTACTATGACTGAGCCATGCGCCTGCAGTTGGCCGTGTAATGGCTACTAAAAACCGCCACGACTCTGGCCTGGCTCAGCTTAGGCGAAGGCCAATGAATAGCCTTTAGGCCAATGGTAGTCATGGTAGAACTCTGACCAGGACGTTAGCTTAAATATTTGTTATAATTTTTTATTCAAAGATAGTCTAGGTTTGAATGGAACACATCAAGCAGAGTTTACTTTAAAAAGCTTATTTTTAGATAAAATGGAGATTTGTGTGCAGTGTCATGTAGACTATTTTGTATTTTTGACAAGTCTGTAGAATGGTTAGTGTGTGGTGTATTGAATACTATAAAGAATGGAATGCGTGTTCACTAATCCCACAACTCGTTGCATTGCACAGAAAATGTATTCCCTTTTCATTATTTCATTGAGGTAGTCTATAGGCTTTCTACTTGCAAGTGTAGACTAGAGTCTAGTCATGCAGGCAAATAAATAAATCCGAAATGACATGTCATGAACGAGAAACGAGTACCTGCACTGAGATGGACATGAATAAAGGCTGTAAATAAATAAAGCTTACGACAAAGTAGAAATGACTTCGAAAGTCAAATGAAGATGATGACGGGTGATGAACGAAGGAAGGGGCTCACGCGAAGATGATGCGGAGGCTTGATGGCAGAGACGCGGCTTTGTTGTCGTGGCTGAAGAGTGCGATGTCGACGCTGACGCTCATGATGATGATGAAGCTCTCGGAAGAGAAGAGAAGTAATGTGTGGTGCTCGATGGCGAAGCAGTGAATCAGTCGATGTCAGAGGCTAAGGAAGAAATGAAATCAAAGTCGGTGCCGATGCGAATCAGTACATTAAGTCGCTCGATGAGTTGGATGAGCCGAACTTTGATGAATGTTTAAGAGAGCTACATGTACGGTGAATCGGGCTTGTGATGAATGTTCAGGCGAGCTACGGTGAGTCGAGCTTGTGACGATGAAAAGCTACCGGAGCGAAGTGAATAGCACTGTAGCAGCGTGCCATGAAAGAGGTGCATAAAGCACAGAAAATTCTTGAGTGCGGAGAGAAGATCACAGAGACATGTTGACTCGACCTAAGATAGATGCAGCCGTTGCTGACTGTACTGTCTGTGATGGTAGCAGGAGTAAAGAAACCTCGTGGTGTTGTAATACGCGGGGTGAAAACATGATTCGCGATTGGAAGGAAAAACATGTGGTCTGAATAAATGAATATAAATAAGTCGCGTAAAGTGGTTTGCACACTATTTAGACTTCATGTACACGTATAATAATGTTCAGATTGTATTTATTCTTGGGAACTTGTTCATTTCATAATTTTGATCTTACTTTGTCAACTTATGTTATTTATTGTGCAAACAATTGTAATGAAATAAAATCAATCAACAAAAAAATGAAAAAATGAAAAAATTCTAGACCCAAAAATGTTTTACAATCAGTGCAGTCGGTGTCCAGATATCTCTATTGAATTATGATTTTTTTTTTATTGGCCTACCAACAAAAAAAAGGGGGCATATTTTAATTTTAGCCCTGCACTTTATACAGAATACATACAGTGTCATTTATTTGTGTTGTACCGTACATGTACAGTATTTTGTTTTTGACTACAGCACAGTAAGATTGGGTTGTGTTACTGAACACAAAGTTTCACTGTCGTGTGGGCTGTTGATTAAAAAAAACCATAATCTTTAATACCCCAATATTACAGTTTTTTTTTTTTTTTTTTTTTTTAGATATTAGTCAGTATAACGTTGAAGTTTAATTTGGTGTACTATTACGCCTGGCTACAAATGATTCTTGTGTTCTTGTTTTCTCCCTCCCCCCCCCCCCCCTAATAAAAAAAAATTAAAAAAATTACAATCTGCCTCTGGCTTATTATGACATCACTTCATGTACATGTACATGTATGCCTTTGTTTTTGTTTTCAATTTATATGTACATGTACATATACATGTATTTTTTTTAAGGTTCACATTTTCACATTATTTACTGTAATTTCTCTGGTTGTACATGTACGTTCTACATGCATGTATACTACTGTATATGTACAGTGTGTACGGTACATGCATATAGCTTTTACATTGAAACGCAGAAGGCAGGTTAGATATTTTTCCTTATTATGCATTTGGGCAATTATGATATCTTAATTGTCACAGCAGTGGTAACTAGGCAACCCCAAATGAATTAACATCCCTCCTTGTCCTGCCACTGTCTGCTATTGTACTCTGCAGTTTATTAGTCTGCAGGCTCAAACTCTATTTTGACAATATAAAGAAAATTCCACAAAGCCATTAGCCTTAATTTGTACTGCTTTTGAGGATCCCTCGTTGGTTGTGTCTCAAGCAGTTACAGTATAGGCCAATAGAGAACAGTATTCAGTCTTGTAATTCAGACCCCATGTGACGATTGACAAGTGTAAAAGGGCTTAAATGGTTGTAAACTAGTCCTACATGTACATAGACAGCGATGTTTACTTTCAAGAATGATGTACAATTGCTATTCATTGTTAAATTGCTTGTACTGTACCTGTAGTCTTGCTAAGATCTAACAATGCATCAATTGGTTATAAAAAATAGTTGTATTATTTGAAATTGTTCAGACCTGTTTACAGATTATTGATGTGTAATTCACCTAATCCTATGTGTACCCTGTATGAGTGTATGCCCATGTACATTGTAGGTGTTATTCTGACTTCATGTCGGGAAATTAATACTGTCCATCTACAAAATGTCTCTGAGCACATTGTAACTTTGTAAGGGCCTACCTACAATGTACATGTAGAGAGTAGAGACAGACTGACATTTACTGTACACTGTACTTTGTAGTGACTTGAGATCTTTTGGCAGAGCGTGTGAATCTAAATTCAAAGATGTTTTTCCTCACCTGCTTTTGTAAACCAACCCTTTTGTGCAGAGAGCGGTAACAACAGTTCAATGGTCCCTCCCACAAAGGAACTGATGGATAGTGAAAGGTCCAATTCATTGAATTCTTTCACAGCTGACTCACCTCAATGGCCAAATCTTTTGTAGGGCACCCTTTTGTCTGACTGCTCACAGACAGTTACTTTAGTGGCATTAGGGCCAGGAATTAGTATCAATTTAGGTGTTTATTATTTAGGTTCCATTTATGTACATGTACATGTACATTGGTAGGTGTACAAACCAATCTTGATGTACACTGTTTATAGGTCTATACATGTACAATGTACAGTGTATGTATTTGAATTTATCTTTTACCCAAGCTTTTACAGATCCTCATAGTACACAGTATACTGCAGATAGCCATGCCATGTACACTGTATATTATGTCTATGTAGGCTTAATATAACAATGCATGTTTCTTCAGAAACCAATCATTCTGTTGGAGGTTGATAATGTTGATTAAAAATTACATTCAATAATCTGAGTTCATATAGTGCATTTATTTTGAATTATTGCATCTATCCAGTCTGTACAAAACTACAGTGTGTCGAAAAATACATGTTCACTTGCCTGCATCGGGGAGATAGGATCACTGTATGATGTACAGTACAGTGTATGTAATTTCTAACTACACCACTAGACCAGTTGCTGCATGTGTACATGTAATATTAGGCTGTTAATTTGTACATGTGGAAAATATAGGGAACCTCTCTGAATTTAAGAGGTTTATAATCCTCTTTTTTAACCTGAGGGTATTGAGATAAGTTTGCAAAGCGGGTCTTAAAACCCAAGCCTTTTCACACCTCTCTGACAAAGGAGTATTGTTTTCCCTTGTCTGATTCCTTTTAGTCTGGGCTGGTATAAATATGCCCCTCCTTGTGTTCTACTTGTATTGTGTACCATATATTTTAGATGAACACTTCCTCGTTTATGTGGACATGAATTCAAGTTTGACTTCAATAGTTAAATTGTGTGTGTGTGTGTGTGTGTGTGAGGGGGACAATAGGACTTCCTGATTTATATTTGAGTTCATCTTCTTGTTACATACTGCAAACTGTCTGATGAATTGAATCAATAGAGTATGAGAGAGAGAGAGAGAGAGAGAGAGAGAGAGAGAGATGGAGAGAGAGAGGTAGAGAGAGAGAGAGAGAGAGGTAGAGAGAGAGAGAGAGAGAGGGAGAGATGGAGAAAGAGAGATAAAATGGGGAGGAGAAGGGGGGGGGGGGTGATATAAATGTATTCCCATATCATAGCTTTAGGCCTACAAGTACATATGAACACTGTTCATGTATATTTTCTGTAGTTTTGCCTTTGTCTCTGTACAATGATCATCATCATCATCACACGCTGTCAAAGTCTATCAGCATGGTGCTCAATTGGTATGAACTTTCAAAAATGAAACTAAAGCTTGAAGGTGTGTTAACAGGTAAAGCATCGTATCATATGAATGGACCTTATACCATTGGTTTCACAAGCAAATTAGCATGCACTTGTACTGTACATACTGAAAGCACTTGATCAATGACGTGACCCATGGTTCCACGCCCTTGTGTACTCTACTGAGTATTAATATTGATTTGGAATCGTGACAGGCTAGATAATGTAAATGTGTACATACATTTATGTTTGTATTTTTCAATTAAGAAAGGAATGATTGTGTTCTCTTCGATTTCCTGGCACAATTGATAGGGGTTATTATGATTTATAATGTAGATTCTATTGTGTACGATTGAAGTTTAAATGTATTGACAATTAATACTCACTGTCTTCTGGAGTATCCCTTTTTATAATTTTGCTCATCATGGACAATATTAAAAGATTTTAAACTATATACATGTACAGTGTGTACATTACAAAATACAATGTAAAGAAACATAATTCATAGTAATTTTTTACAAGCATACAATGGCTTTGCTTTTGACAATATCTGATCAGTCAAATCAATTCTCTACTTACAACATGTACTCAGTACTGTACTTCTGGAAAAATTTCTCAATGACAAATTAATTGCCTATTTCTACAATGTAGTACAGAAGGCCCTTCTCCCCTTTGTTTTAAGTTTGTAACCTTTCTAGTGTGGAGAAAAGATCTTGTTCATGTATTCTGTCGTTCAGAACATACATTTCTATATCAAGTACAGGTGTACATGTACAGTATGCATAATTTCTTGCGACATGTTGCACATGGACAATCTATGGTATTTCTATTCTGTACAAAGTATTCTGTAATCTGTAGTTTGTACACCTTCCATTTTTCTTCTCCATTCTTTGCACAGATCGCTACCACGGAACGACTTGTGTTTGACTTCCTTGGCTTCATGTGGGTGCCCATGCTGGTAGGATTCCTCAATATCATCTTCGTCCTCTTCGGCATATTCGGCTCCTATCAGTACAGACCAAAATTTATGATTGTGGTAAGTATCTTTTGATAACAATGATGTCTTTTATAGCAACGGTATCCACCAGCTTTATGGTAATTGCTCAAAAATGTATGTACATTCAGGTGTACTTCTCATGATATCCGCTCATGTACTGTAATGCCAGAAACTGCTAAATTTATCTTTAAACACTTTAAGCAGGAAACCACACTATTTTTTTTTAAAAAAGGGGTCTGGATTTATCTTTTTAGAGTCTGTATTTACATGGACATGTTGTTGTTTTTTAATTTAAAAAAAGAAGAAGGAGAAACTTTGGGAGTCTGGACCTACAGTACATACACATGTAGATTTGGGATTCCTACTGTACATATATGTGTCCCAGGTGCTTTAGTTTCAAGCCTGCATTAAGAAAAGTACAAACGCATGGAAGATAATGTCAACAACATTGAAGTACGAGTACATTGACATACATGTACTGTGAAAATTAGGGATGGAGAAGTGCTGACCAAATTTGTCATCAAGTTGGCATGCTCCAATTGTCATTTTGAAAGGTCCTGTGTCCAAAACACACCACGCATCATGGAATTTGTGTCTCTGCCAATACAGTCATGAAGAGTCATTAGGTGAATTGGGATGACATGCATGATTGCATCTGTCGTCACCAGTCACCATAGCACAAACTACGTCAGTTCTCACACTTGCAGTTATATGAACTTGGGGAGTGATTCGGCTGAATTATGTTCAAGGTATACAGCTTTGATGTGTAATACAGCTTTCAGTGTACAGATGTGATCTACATCCTGGTATAGGGCGAATAATTCTATGATGATAATTGATGTTTATATTAATTTCTATGGAGAGTATTGCCTGCATATGTTTAATATACTGTGTACATGTACATGTACGTGTAGGTGCACACATGTACACTGTATCTACATGTACATACGTGTAGTATCAATGTCTTCTCTAGTACTATACATGTACATACATGATGTAGGCCTACACAATGTACTGGGATGTACTTGAATGATGCAAGGAATCATTTCATCCTGGATGTACACGGTAGGCCTATGGATGATAATTATACAGTACAGATGAACATTTGTCCCAGTGCACCCGAATATATGTACAACACACTGGTACACGTACAAGTAATTGGACCCTTACAATAGTACAGTACAGGTGCACATTGTATTGTAATCCTATCGTCATGCCATATTATTCTTACACCCCATTATTGTTTATGTTATGGTATGTCCCCTTGGTTCTCCCCTGCTCACAAGTGAAAAGAGCGTATTCATGTACACTGTATGAACATGTACAGACTTGTATGAGTACATGTGTACAGTGTACAGTACGGAATGTTGTTCTGTAAAATTTCATCACTACTTGAATTATAACAAGTTTGGCTCTTTTGGGCATTTTGGGGGCTATTTCGCCCTGAGCCCCCGTCTATTTTTTTCACTGATATTTTGTTTGATTTACCCTTGTACTTTGTACATGTACATGTACATGTACATTGCACTGTATGTGTGCACTCCATTCGATAAAGCTGTTTTAATTCAGGGAAGCTCTCTCTTGATTTGCATTCTTCACATTTATACATGTACATGAAGCAGGGTTTTTTTTCTTCATTTTTTTAAATTTTTTAATATCTTTAAATAATACCAGAGCTCTTTTGAAGTTTTTGTCAGAGGAAAGCCTCTGCACCCATATATTTTTCTTCCTCTGTTTGTGTACCCTAGATAAACTTCATCAAAATAATGTTCCTGAACATTAAGCAAATCACTAGCTGTGACCTTCTATTGTAAACAAAATTCATGGTATTGTTTGATTTTTAGTTTAAATTAAAGGCTTAGAAATTAGCGGGACATGTGCAGGTTTGCATGCTTATGATGAAAGTCTTGATAGACATTTTAGGCCTGTCAATATTATCAGGTCAAGGGATGAAAGCAAGAGAAAGGGAGGGGTACAAAAAAGAAAGTCCTTTAATCATGATTCATTTTTACCCTTCTACCGGTAGTTCTTCTCTTCCCCACCACCACTGTCAAAGTCTGGTACTATTAAACCAACATGATTCCTGAAATTATAACCCTGGCCTGGAGAAATATCACCTCCTCTCCCTCCCCCCTCCAAAAACATTAATAAATAAATAAAAATAAAAATATGGTCACAGCTCTGTCCTTGTGTAAGGGTGTGTCCATGTTTAAATATTCATAACATTAAAGGATATTTTTGTATTATTCTCCAAAATAATGATTACATTTTGTATAATTTGTCATTATTTCTTTACAGTATTCACTATGGCAATTGCTGTGGCTTGGTTGGAATATCTTCATCATATGTTTATATTTAGAAGCAGGAATTCTTTCACTTGAGGTAAGATATATTTTTATTATACTTTACTCTGTTCTATCATAAACTAATCATAAATGAATATTTTGATTCATTTCTACTCATATTAAATGCACCTTCAACCCTTGATATATTTATCAGGACAAAAAGAAAAAAAAAACATTATATTGGTCTTGATATTTTAGGGAAGATATTTAAGACTAAATTGTGGTCAAAAGTGAATAATCTTCTTGTTAATAAGGCAGTAGGCAGGTTGGTGCATGGGAGGTACATGTAGATTACAGCTACATGTATGTTTCTGTTCGTACATGCTTCCATTCTCAAAAGTGTGAGTTGAGCTATTCATTGAATGTGATTTCCAGCAGGATCTTATTAGTTTGTTTTTATTTTTTCTCATCTCGATTGCCCATTTACTGCTTTAAAAAAAAACTGCAGAATTACTTTCAGCCGCTTCCTTTATTCCCAAAGATTGTTGTTGTTTGTTGGCTTTTTGGTTTTTGTTTTTGTTTCGATGTTTGATAAAACACACATATGTGAAACTGTTACGGATATCAAACTATCAAAGAAAAGTAAGCACAGCTTGAAATGCAATACAATTTGATGATTTTAACAGACCCACATTGGCCATGCATTATTCTACCACTTTTCTACTTCACTTGATTTTGCATATACTGCATTCAAATAAGATCCTTGTAGTGCCTACAAACTTGTTGTGTATTTTGGTAAATATTACTGCTGTTTCTAAACAAGTTTAGGTGGAAAAAGCTGTTTACTGCTTCTGTAAAAAAAATGGATAGGGTTTGGGTAATAATGAATTTGAGAGAAAATCAGAAATGCAATTATTGAGGGATTCTTAATTAAATTCATTTATATGACTCAAAGAAGCTTGCATTATGGTTAGTACAGATACTTGCAATTAGTAATTTATTCAATGAACTTAATAGATATAATGAATTTGTCCTCGTTCTTCAGTAAAGGTTCACAATTTATAATGATGTCGGATAGACTGATGGAAAAGGAAGGCAATCCGTATATGTAAAAAGTATAGCCTTCCCTTGCAATGGTCATGCTGATCTCAGGTAGTCTTTAAACACAGACCCTATTATTAATTAATAAAATGTTATTAAGCCTTGAGCTAAGAGTTACCCTGTCTATCTATTGGCAGGAGCCATCACATGTACATACACTCATACAGTACTATACATGTACAGTGTAGGGTCTATATGGATAGCAAAAAATTCATAGGAGCAGTGAGCGATTTGGCTTTGGTAAACTCTACTTAATGTAGATATCATTTTGGGTTAATCGCACTCACATGTACACAACACCAAATCTTAAAAGAGCTTGTGTGAACAGAAAAACCTCTTTTTTTTTTATCTACATGTACCGGTACATTGTACATGCATAGTCTTACAGTTCAGACCCTGTGTTATGGCTTCTAAATGCATTCAACTGACAAGTAGGGTTCGTGCCTGCAGAGTGCAGACTAATGAAGATCATACATGTAGGCTGAAATTTCAGCGCAGAAAGGTCATATGAACCGGGCTAAGGTCGTTTGAGAGATAGTATAGATTACCTGGTGCATTCCATGGGGGTATATATCTCTCTTGATCAGGGGTGGGTAGAGGAGCGTGGTGATTGATGATAGAGATCACGTAAGGCGCATTTATACTGTCAAATACCTCATTTTGAAAAGTCGCGATGTTTCGTGCACCCGGTTACACTTGTGCTGAAACATCACCGACGGAGCTGTTCAGCGATGTTTTGGCGTGTTTCGGTTGGTAATGCGCATGTGCAGTCTTCCCGACCTTTGACCCCGGCCTGCTATAAGATTTTTAGCGCGCGCAATTTCCAGCTAGCGCTATAGCTAGCTAAATAGCGATACATCCCATGCGCATGCATGCGATATGTTTTGTTTATCTCGCGTGTAGTATTTGAGGCAAGAGTGGATAAGTTACGAAGTACGGACTACGGCTGCTGATTCAGTTTTCCCAAATTCAATCGAAATCTAGTAGTAAAAATGATATGGGAAGGTTAAGAAAATCATCGTTGTTAATTGGAATTATGAGAATTCGCCGACGTCATTTCTCTGAAGCCCTTTTCCCCACGTTTGCAGGGACGCTTGGAAGTCTGGTGGAGGAGCTCTCCCTGCCTCCATATCGAAATCAAGAACTTCATCTCATCATCAGTCCAATGGGAATTGTTCACTTCCATGGTGATATTAATTAATCTAACAAAACACTCAAATACTACTACTAGACAGATATGGCCAGACGGGAATAACGAAGATTGAATAAAGGATGAGTTAACGGAATTGGAACAAACGGAGCTGAATGAACGGATAACACGCGCGACGATGGAAATGCTATAAATATCACACGGGAAGAACGTGGTTTAAAAGAGCGCGGGTAACAATCCGGAAGTGCCGGAAGTCACGTGCCTAACATCGCGATGTTACAACTGCGAGCGGTTATACTTGCCAAACACGCCAAAACACGCCAAAACACGCCAAAAGATCACACTTCGTTTTGGAATGTTTGGGGCTTGGCATGTCTGCCGGTAAAGCGTAGTTGCCCTTGGTAACATCGCGGCCAGGCTCCGGTTTGGCATTTTTTGGCGTGTTTGGATGACAGTGTAACTGCCCCTATTATGTGTATGTGAGCTGCCTAATTATAACTGCTATGCAAGGGATCATTCGCACATGTAACAGTAAACCGCCTTTACAAAATAGGCATAGCAAAAGAAAATTGACCGTAGTATGCTACAGTATGACTCGATCCCCCCCCCCCCCTCCCCAATTTGAAAAAATACATAACAAACAGAACAACGATACTAATAACTGTAGAAAGAATTGACATTAATGAACAATGATTAGCAAAGTCTCTATCCGAAAAGAATTGATAATAAATTAAAAATGAGCTAAAAATGTAGTTCTATTTAGCTTTTGAATTCGGTTACTATTACATTGACCTTCTGTTCTGAATACTTTGTATCACAGAGAACAACAACAAAAGCATTGCAAAACTAATATTTGAAAGAAAATTGGTTTGCAAACCAATTTCGTGTTAAATTGGAGAAGACAGGGAAAGTTTTGTGTATACGCATACTGTGTATACAGGACAGTCTTTATTGGCATTTCCCCCCAGATGTTGATTCAACTATCTTGAAAACAGATGTACCAGTACCGGTAGACATTAATGAATTTTGAGCTTGTGAGGCTGCTTGAAATTCCTCTTTGAGATCAGGAAGATGAACTCCGAGATGAAAGGGAGGGAGGGAGGGAGGGAGGGAGGGAGGAGTGAAGGATAGAGGAGGAGGACGGGAGGAGAGTAATGCTCTTGCATGCACCATGTACACGCAAATTGTGAAATGAGACGTTTAAAAGGTACATGGGTTTGTATTTGGGGGGGGGGGGGTTACTTTAAAGATGAAGTTGAGTTCTGGTCATGCGATTGCATTGTGAAAGAAACGGTGTGGAACCGACCAGAAAATGTTGATCATCTAGCATATAAGAATTTGTGTGTATTGCAAGGTTCTGGAATCATCAAAATGATAAGAAATTTGGCCAAGTCTTGGTAAAGTTACAAACACTTGCACAGAAAGATGTATATGGGACTACACGAACACGTGGCGTAAAAAGCCGGCCCCCCGATTTTTACGATGTTACATGCATATTTAGAATATGAAGGCATTTGAAGAGCCATGCTTTTCAGGGAACATGTCTTAACTTGGTTTGGTTTGGTTTTATTTTCCGTATAAAAATTCAATACATACAAGAATACAATTTACAAATAATACAAATCAAGAATTTAAAAAAACGGCTGGAAAGCTCTATTCAGAGCCATTATTAAAATGGCTCTGTTCTTCCACACTTGCACAATAAGAATGAGTAATGCTCAAAAATTATTTTTCACCTCTTCCGAGAACTCAACCTTCTCTTTAATACAGGCATCTTGAATAATCAGGCCTATATGAGTGTGTTTCATTTTCTAAGTTGTAGGCACTCAAGAACATCAGTGTAGATTATCAATTGTAGGTATATTTCCACATATGATATGCCATGGATACACATGCACAAATGTGTTCAGACTTTCCGTTTAGGTTTATAGTCGCTTAAACAAATACAGGCTATGGTTAAACGTTTAGCCCCAAAGCAGTCATCTTCTTTTCTTTTCTTTCTTTCTTTTAGTGAAACCAAAAATGCAAGCATGAATCAATTGCATATACCAAATAGATATGGGCAATAATTTGGCAATTTCAAATATTTTTTTAAAAGTGGAATTCAATATTTACGGTGCAATTTGTTAATTAGTTTCGGACAATGAATCTAAAGTGTTCCGCATCCAAAAGATTAGAACAGTACTCAGTTTGCTCGGTGTACGTGAAGGAGGAATGGGATCATTCTAGCCTGGCATTTCAGTCACCCAGACAAGCTTTGTAACTGTCACATATATTAATGTCAGCTGCTTGGGATACCTCATAAAACACAGGCAGCGGTGCTCGCAAGCATCCAAAACATAATACAGGCAGTGAGAGCTATAGATCCATCCATCTCTCAACCATAAGACATACTGTACTTAATCATCACTGTGCAATGTACATGTTTGTTTGCATGCAAACTGCTGACAACTTTTAACAAAGTTTGGATAAGATCCAAATTAGCGGATCCGGTAGGAAGATTCATAAACCTATTCCATGAATGCCTGTGCCTTATCACAGCAGTAAGACTCAGTCTGGAAGTAATATTAAAGCTCTTTTCAAAACAAACCAATTGTATTGTTTATGTTTAATATATGACCTACGTGTACATGACAGTACATACAAACAGAATATCATCAATCAAGTGTAGTATATTTCCCTAACATTACCTGGGGGAGGGGTCAAGAAGAAGGGGAGGTAGGTGGGAAGGGGGAGTGGTTGTTGGAAGCAATACAAATTGGGACTAACAATCAAACATTTACAATGTAGATACATACATGTAGAACAGTGCAGTATTTTAGCATGTCAGTGATTGCCTAGTCAAACTAATGGCACTCACAGTTGAAGTAACCTTTGTTATTATATTGCAATGTACATGTATGAAGGCACAGAGGTAGCATTAGAAATCACTATTAAATCATGACAATTTCTCTCTTCCCATTCTATCTCCGCAGCAACACCAATATATGTTAACATTTAACACTAGCAGCAGTGAAAGCTGGTGGATCGAGCACGGTTTCAACTGCTCGGTGACGTACAACATCACCACGTTGCCTTCAGGTATCAGTACGTCGGAGAGGATAGGAGTCACGGGCTGCCTCCTTGACTACAGATACATAGAGGTCATCCATGCTGCAGTTCAATGCTTTTTATGTGTAAGTGTTATGTAACAGTTCCTACACCCCCCTGCCACACACACACACAAAATAGGACCAGATGAAGGGAATGGCTGTTGTACCATACAAAAACAAAAATGCTCAACTGTGAGCCTACAAGTATTGCAAAAATCCCCACAAAATTTATTTTCTTTTAAATTGTTCTTGTGCAGGAGAAATCTCTCAGAATCCAGCCTTTCTCTTGTAATATCAGAGATCCTTCTGCGCTGTCTCCATATTTGTGGAAAATATCAATTTCAGAGTGGCACAAATACTGAGCCATTAATTGCCTTCAGAAATTGCTACGGTGTTTGATTATGATTTTAAAGTGAAATTTGAAGCCTCCAACAATAAATGCTTTCCATCCTGAAACCTCAGCATGGAGTACAGGTGATATTTAACAGAATGGCTCATATTATTAACCTCATATATTTTAACACATGCCCTTTTGATTCTGAACAGTCATTAAATGCAGTTCTACTCATGTAAACAGCTTGGTTGGTAAATATTTATTAAAATTGAAAATAACTATAGGGAGATGAGGAAACTAATGTTTCATTCCATAACCAGAACTCTAGAATAACTTCATGAACTATTTCAATTTTGTCTTGTTTTCTTCCACTGTCTTCATCTCCATTTAATTCTTTTCTATCTGTCCCCTTGACCTTTCTCTCCTCCTCTTCTATTCTCTACCCCCCCCCCTTCTCTTTACTCCTCCCATCCCTCTTCCCCTAATCCAGGTCTTGGGTATCGCTGGGGCTATGGTCATGGTAAAGAAATTCAACGAAGAAGAAGACAGCTGTAAGTATACTAATACCGTCTTGCCTACTAGATACGCATAGGCTGTTGAAAGCTGCATGAATACTGCGTGTGGAACCATTCATTATGCATTCTTTCAAGCACACTTCAGATGACTACTTTCTTGTGCAATTTTCTTGTACTTTTTAGCTTTCTTTGTAGTGTAATGGAGGGAGGAGCTCTTTCTTTCTCATTAAACAACTACCTGAATCAATTTTTTTCTTTCTAAATCATGTAAAAAGTATTCTGCTACATTTAGATGGAATAGATACTGTAAGTGTCAGATGTTACAGTACATCAAGTCCATTCTGTAAGCCTTTTTAGGAGAGTAGCAAAATTTGTGTATGATCTTAAATCCTTGATAAAAATAAGGTTGCCCTTTTCAAGCAGATATGTATCAATTCTGTATTCATGCATACATCTTTGCCTCCTTCTGCAACACTATTTCTCCATGTGTTGCGTCGGTCACCTACAAACATGTACATGTGTACATAAAGAAGTAGCGTGATTGAGCACTTATCCATTTTCAGGAGAAAACATCAGAATTGGCAATTATAAATGGCAAATGTTAAGCCTACAAACCCTCAAACTCCTTCCCCCCCCCCCCTTTTTTTTTTTGGGGGGGGGGGTGTCTCAATTATTATGAACAACAACATAAATTTAGGACATAACTTTGCCAACATGACAGAAGAAATATACAGGGGATCCATAGTCCATACATAATGTCCACTGTAATTAAACTACACCCTGGGAATCATTTATGTCTGTGGGTAATGCGTCACAATCACTTGCTCTTCCTAAAGTTTAATTACCTAATCAATCAACCAGAGTCCTTATGAGGTGTACTAAGTAATTGTCTGTAATATAATGCTTGTGTACACTTAGAAACCAAGGTCAGACATGTACATGAAAATATGTTTAGTATAAAGCTTTTATGATTAATGGAAGGGAACTCAAAATTTTGGACAGGTGCATTGTACATGTATGTGTACATGTAGCTTCTTCTTCCTCTTCTCTTTCTTCTTCTTCTTTTCTTTTCTTTCTTCTTCTCCTCTTTCTTTTTCTCCTCTTTCTTTTTCCTCTTCTCTTTCTTCTTCCTCTTCTCTTCTCCTCTTTCTTATTCTTCTCCTTCTCCTTCTTCTCCTTCTACTACCCTCTTTCTCTCTTTTTTTTTTCTCTTCTTATTTTACCTCTTCTCCTCTTCCTCCTCACTCTTCTTCTCTTCCTCCTCACTCTTCTTCTTCTGCTTATTCTGTCTCTTATTCTTTTTCTTCTACTGTTTCTTCTTATTCTTTTCCTTTTCGTTCTTTTACTTCTTCTCCTATTTTTATTTTTTTATTTTCAAAATTAAATACATGTACCTACAGTTACAGAGGCAGTCTCCATTTAGAGGTAGCCAGCATTACATTTTAATGCTCAATATATTTCTGGGGCTAATTTAATCTGCCAAAAGAAGGTAATTTTACCCCATAAATCACTTAGGGGATTGCCAGGCTTATTAACTGAAGCGGTTTCACAGTTTATAGTGTGCTACTGAATGAGTTCAACAAACTCTAAAAAAGCCTGAATATTCTTTTAATTCCTCAAATGCATGGATTGAATGCTAGACCTTACTAATAGGTCTTTTGGAATGCTGTGCTACTTTTTGGGATTATCTTAACTCTCTAATTACACATAAAGTCTGCTATAGACAGGAATATTTCAAGTCAACAATCTTGTAGTTACAGAATCATAGCACTTCTTTATGGGTTCACAATCTGACGTAGTTTGGGAATGTAATATGGTGTAAATCTGTGTTTGTGGGAGGGGGGGGGGGGGGTTCTCGTGAGCCCATGGCTGCAGATTTGCTATTCTACTACAGTACATGTTCATGTATGATGTTGAGAACTGTCATTGTAATTATTTGCATATTTTCTTGAAGCCCTGTGTATTTTTGACTTCCATGATTCAGAATACAAATTTGTTTAGTTGTAAAGGAACTTTTCCTAGTCATTCACATACAAGGGTATAGACTACGATAGTGATTTATAACTTGACATCACTTTTCTTTCTGTACCCCTTCATTTTCTCACTCCTTTCCTCCATTTTAAATATTATTTTTTGCCATTTCATTTATGTTTTATGATTTGTTTTTTCCCCCCATTTTTATGTTGAGCACTCTTCTTTTTCCTATATTATTTTGGTTCCTTTCTTTATATTTTTGTTTTCTCGTTTTGTAGTTGATTTTATCGGTGGCTTTGATTCTTCGTACACTGCCTACAACTCACATGCACAAAAGCCACCTGCCACAATGCAATTGGAACCAATTTATGTGTAAGTAGTATTAAAGCAATTTAGAACGTGGGTGTGAACAGAGTTGTGTTTTCTTCATATTTCTGTGTTTTGAATCTTGTGCGTGTTCACACAGATAAAGAATATAAGTTCATATTTGTGTTTTTTCATTGAAAACGTGTGGTATGTTGGTAAATATATTTTAAGTTTGTAAGTATTGTTTGGTTTGTGGTTTTTGTTCGATTTTGCTTTAAATAGTAGTTTTGTTGTTTCAATTTGTTGTTTTGGGGATGCTTTTTATTGTCCTATTTCGACATTTAGAATGACATCATACACATCTATCCCTAAGTTTTTAGAAGCAGCCAAGACAGTCATAAAAATAGACACTAAGCTAGTCTGGTAAAATAAAATAAAAATTGAGATAAATGATTACCGGTAAGTATCAAGTAAGGTTTCCTGCATTGATTTATCTTACAGGCATAGAAATAGAAATTTAATCAGGGTAATCGTCCTCATTACACAATTCACACAGTAAAAAATGGTATGTGTGATTGTTTTATACTATTCCAATATCCAATTCATTAATGTAATATACATACACTGTTATGAGTATATCTGCTTGAGAAGACGATAAGTTTTTCAAATTTGAATGCAGGAACTATTCAATATTAAATTTGATAATAAAGTTATTTTTATATGACTGCTATAATGTATGAAACTTTGCTATGTTGCCCACCCTCCTTCGATTTTTGATATGATTTATATACTTATTCGTCTGTTGGTCACATATACTCCCACCTTTGTTGAAACTAACTGGCGTGTAATATGGTTCCTATTAATAGGAGTTCTTAATGTAAATTAAAATATCTTTTAACATGTACTACCATACATGTACATCATGTGTTGACTTATCTTTCACTAATCTTCATTCGGACTTAATATATCTTTTATTTTTATGTTTTCATTCTAACTTGATTCCTAATATTTTTTTTAGAATGTTGACCAATATCCCTTGGGCAGATTGTTCTTGTTGTGTGCTTTGCGTTTTGATTGTAGCTACTAGGTTGTTTATAATAGGTGCATGCCGGATGTCAAATAGTTACCAATGCTACCGTAGGTGCTTTAAGTAAATAATGTGCCCACACATAAGGTCATTTGTTTGATATTATTTTTGTTTTAAGTTATTAGGGGGAAATATTTACATTTTGATTATATGCATCCTTGATTAGCTGGTATTTATAAATGAAAGAGAAAAAGGTGAAATAGTTCCATAATCTCTTAGTGATTAGTCATTTCAATAATATTAATGAAACTCAAGAAAACACAAAATGATTTTATCAAGTTCGCCGTATGTCCACCATTCAACAGTTGATTTCTAGGGTAGCACCATGCTTTTAATATAACAATCAATATCAGTGCTAAAAGAAGTGATTCCCTCTCATGCAATGAAATCTAAGTACATAATAATAATAATTAGATCAATTTATATAGTGCAGCTCCTATATAAATGTACTGTTACTTTACAAAATCACAATATAAAATGTAAAAATCCATTAAAAGGCTCCTAAAACAAGTGCGTCTTCAACAAAACTTTGAAGACAGCAACAAATGAGGTTTTTCTCACGTCTAGGATCAGGTTATTCCAAAGCTGTAGAGCGGCGCAACTGAAAGCATGATCTCCCAAGAGTTACTTTAGTTTTTGTGCGAGATAGCTTTAGAAGCAGCTTGTCCTGTGTATTTTTCAAGTTACGTGCATGCGGAAGTGATTCAAAAGATAATAATTCAGACAAACAATTTGTCCATGTACTTGTAGTATGAATTTTAAAGGCACTATTGTAGTGAAGGAAGGAAAAAGAAGTATATTTAGGTTCGCTATTGCAGTGGTTCTTGCTTTGATGTGAAAAGAAAAATACCTGCTTACTGACGAGTCTGGAATTCATTCTCCTTTTCAAGGAGGGGGGGGGGGGGGTTAAGAAGTCAAAACGCCAGCTTGCTTTTGTGTTATGCATTGAAGTAAAAGTTTACTGGATGTAGTTGCATAAAGTATTGAATGCTAGTGAATGATTTTATTACGGTATTTGCATGGTTATTTATCACATATTTATTTCTTTACCCCTTCACCTCTTTCTCATTCTAAATACCTTCATTTTCATTATCTCTTTTCTCTTTTAATCTGGCTATGTCCTTGTCAACCTCACTGCTTGTCTATTTCTTTATCTCTTCCCTCTTTTCTTACTGTTTTTCCCCTGTTTCTCTTTCTCTCTCTCTCTCTATCTCTCTCTCTCTATCTCTCTCTCTCACACCCTCCTCTCTGTCTATCTATCTATCTCTCTCTCTTACTCTCTTCTCTCTCTCTCTCTCTCTCTCTCTCTATCTCCCTCTCTCTATCTCTATGTGTGCTGTGATTCTTTGCATGATGACTGCATGTCTTTGTCTGCTGCCTTGCTGATGTTGTACTCTTGTTCAATACATCTCTACAGAGACGCCAGGTGAGGAGAGGTTACCAAAACTTTCAGAACATTTGATCCTTATCTTAGTATTTAAATCTCACATGTTCCTGACCATTATCTGTATCCCCCTCCCATGGAAGTGGAATGTTATTATACCCCTCATCCCTAGTATATTTATATAGGACATGGGTATCTGACAATAACTTTTAAAAAATGAATAATACTTACATGTATATTGATAACATTTAACTCGTGTAAAAGCACCTTTTTCCATGGGTGCAAGGAACTCTCCATATTCATATGCTTTATATGATATACGTTTGCAGAGGCCATTTGAAGTTGTCCAATGAAGCAAAAATGTGTTCGATAGAAAGGAAGAGTTTTCCTGGTCCCTAATGCAACTCTAAAGATCATAAAGCCAGCATGTTTACAAACATGGCTTTGGAATAACAAAGGAGGGAGCTAGTTTGGTAGATCTGAATTATTAAACGTGTAATTGGATCCACTATTTGTTAATGAAAAGAGGGAGAGAAAAAAGAAGTAGTCCATTCTGACAAATGAAGCGTGTCATTGATTAATATGAATGATTATTTGATGTATTTTCAATTTTTCATACCATGATACCATCAACTCTTTGACGCTTTATTAATTAAAATTTTAAAGGGAAGTCCAACCTTGATAGCAAACTCCTCCAGAAGAAAGAGGAACAGTTAAAGAAGCATACTGGTGAAAGTTTGAATGAAATCAAATATAAAATGAGGAACTTATGAATTTTTAATGGTTGCAATCACTATGGATACGATCTCTTCAAATTAGCTGGATCAGTAATGTCTCTATGATGTAGTGGCAGACAACTTTTCCATTTGTTCCAACACAAAATGACTAAAATTTAAATTCTTCAAAATGTTTGAATCAGGATTGTCTTTAATTTTTAGAGGACCTGTATCAAATTACTCTCCATAATAATGCTCCAAAGGTGAAGCCAATTGGGACAAAAACATTTATTTGTTATATTGTTGTATATGACAAACGGGAGAGTTATCCGTCCCTACGTCACAATCCATTGACAAAATTGCCAATTTGAGGTTCGCATAGATGTTGTGGTCATATATTTCAAACATTCATAACTTTCTTGAAATTTGCCTGATTTATTTCAAACTTTCGCCATTTTTGTTTCTCTGAATTTACTGCTTTCATTTACTGAATTTATTACAAGGTTAGATTGCCCTTAAATTGATTTTGCAGATTGAATTGGGGGTCGGGTCATCATAGCTGCACGAATGTACACAATGTGATGATACTGTTTTATATAGTTGGTGCATGTGTGAAGAGTCTCGAAAATTAATTTGAGTACCGTAAAGTACACAATAATATTTTTTAATTTTTACTTTATTGATTAAATATCCAATTTTTTAGTAACCCATGTTTGTGTCTTTTTTCTCCTGCACGTTTCTTGTTTGTTACAGGCACAGGGGGCTCCGTTGACAAACTGAAAATGTGAGGCACTCGGCCAGAGTGAATGCACCGAGCGACAGATAATGAACAAGAAATTACAAGAGTGTCAACTTGCTTGCCAAATTATTGAAAACAATTTCATGAAAAGTCTTAAAAGTTGAGTGTACCTAGTGAGGCTAGGTGGAGAACAGCCATTGGCTTAAGAAGGTATATGCGTTGACATGTAACGCAATGATATGACTTTCATGACAAAAGTCGATGAATATTTTTTTGAGGAGATTTTATATTTAAGTATTGCCGACGTCTGCAGTGGGAACACATTTCTGTGAATGTAAACACTATGGATTGCTGTTCAGCTGCTCTTTCACCTCACTTGCACATCCTGTGTATTCTCCAACCTCTGAGCGTTTCAGAGGATCATTGTAACAAAGTACTGCCTACATGTATGTATGCAGTGGGAACACATTTCTGTGAATGTAAACAGACTGCAAGGTCATTTCTTCAGCTCCTTCACCTCACAGGCTTCTGAAGGAAAGACATCATACCTTGAGTCTTGAGCACGGCTTTTGAAGGAATCTTCTGTTTCTGCGTGAAATGCTTATAGAAATTATGGAAATGCCCTACCAGAGAATGGTGGTAATCTATGTAAGCCTATTTTGGTGATTTGAGATTTGTTTGGAGTTGAAAAGGAATAGGGCACTCATTTACATACATGTAAGAGTAAAGTTGAGTTCTGGTCATGCGATTGCATTGTGAAAGAAATGTTGTGGAATGGACAAGAAAAGGCTAGCAAATAAGTATTGGTGTGCATTGCAAGATTCTGGAATCATCAAAATGATAAGAAATTTGGCCCAGTCTTGGTAAAGTTACAAGCACTGTACACAGAAAGATGTATATGGGACTACACAAACATGTGGCATAAAAATCTGTCCCGATTTTTATGATGTTACATGCCATATTTAGAATAATAAGGCATTTGAGCCGTGCTTTTCGAAAAACATTTTTTATCTGATGTTCTTCCACACCTGCATAATACAATGATAACACTCACAAATAATGTTCACCTCTTCCCAGAACTCAACCTTCTCTGTAAGTGTGTACCAACTATCTGTGAGGGCAAGTTTCAGGTATATGTCCACTGGTAGGTCCATGCTTCTGAAGTTTTATCAAGACAAATCCCCCTCTGCCTGTAAAAAGGCCATCACTCAATTGTAAATAGCAACAAACGCAAAACCTAAGCGTGAGGAGATCTTCGGTCTGTTTCGCAAACGCTGACCATGTAGAGATTAAGTTGCTGACTACCGTTAACCAAGTCCATTCGTTTATGTGCAGTTGTCCAAAAGAAGACGTAGATGGCGTTAACCAGTATTTGCCAGGCTACACTCCCTTTGATATAAAGTACATATTTTCTTAAAAACTGTTTTGCCTGGCATTGTATACTGGTGTTCTCTTAAAGTGTGAATGTACAGTTGTATAACTGGGATCTTTAAAATGATACTCAAGATTGACTGATCTTTTCAGGGTTTTGAAAACTTTTGATACTATTTTTTTTAATGTCCTTGAGCACAATGTGCCTTGTATTATCAAAATGTATCACTTATTAATTGAAGACAAGTACTACATGTATCTCAGAGAGACCCACATAAAAATCAAAAGGTCTTTAGGAAACTACTAGCCTGATGAGGATAAACATTGTGGGGTCTCGTTAAACTCTTTTCTTGAGTTCTTGTAAAGACACTACAGGGATTTTACAACAGACACTTAAACAAAGAATAGGAGTACTTTTCTTTATACCGTATACTATATGATATAAAGTTTGAATACACTGATTTTTAAGTGTATGAAAAATACTGCCTCAATCGTAAATATATTAGTGTTATTACTTGAAATGTATTCAAGGTTACTCAGGTTGCTTGAGGATGATGCAAAAAATAGTAAATTGTTGCTACCTCTTGCTATAATCCTGATATGGACCCGCCCCCCCCCCCCCCCCCCCCCAACAAAACAAAAACTTGTGGAAATTTCTATTCTAACAGAACGTTTGTGACTAGAGTGATATGCATCTTTTGATGTCATATTTGTTAACATTTTGCTGGTAGGTTACCCTGGCAAAAAATGCAGATTTCAAATTTGCTGGGTGATGCAAGATTGAAAAAACGGAATCCCTCCATTTGTATTGCACACAGTGCAGCATTGTCAAACATGAATATAATTATGCATGATTGATCAATGGTCACCCCCATCTGCCCCTTGACTGAGACATTGCCAATATAACAGGACCATGCCTTGCTTATCATAAGGTCACATAACAAGTGTAACATAACCTGGGAGATGATGAAATCTGGCCTGAAAGTCTGATATTTGATCTTTTTCTACTGCTGTAACAATACATGTATTATCACTCTAGTCATAACAAAGAGAGGTAATATTTCCATTGCCTTTGCAATGAGATACTTACTCATTTGTATTACCCAGAAACTTTGCCATCTCTTCTTTTTTCCCATTTAAAAAAAAAAAATTTGTATGCTGCTTGGAATATGTTGGTTTCTTTTTCCAAATTGAACTAGTGTATAGTAAAAATGAATTTCACACAAAGACTTATGTTATGAATATGTTTTTTCTCCAGAATTACTAACTAAAAACAGTAATTTTGCTGTATTATTTCAGTACATTTTTCCATGACAAGAATTTTTGCCCTGTTAATTATTTTTAATGTGAGAGATGAGATGCACTTCAGATGTATTTGTGATTATGTATATTTAGACGTACCGTACACGTATTAGACTACATCTTTGCAAATGTCGCTCTATGACATGGATTTAAGATGTCAAACATATGTGTTATTTATTTTGGAAATATATATATTTACATTACATGTAGCTGCCACACAGATGCAATTTCTTTATAGTGCTAGGTTAGGTAAAACCTTGATTTTTTTTTTCTTTTTTCTTCTTTTAAACAAATTATGTAAGGTGCACAGTTTATCCCATCAAGTCAACTTGTATAGTACTGTAAGTTAATTTATCAATTTCATGGCTGTACTTAGTGTGGATATATATTTATTTTGTTATATTATTTTATATTATTGTATGAATATGTCAGCAAACTTTAGCATTGGTATGAAATTTAAGCAATGGCTGGAGGGTTGAAACCAGTAACACTTCCTCTACATTTAATAAACAAGGCATGTTATCTACAGTTGTCTCTCAATTGGGCTGTACCAAGTGGGTATGTCACATCTGGTAGAATTTATTCCTTGGATTGCTCGAGTTGAGCTGCAATTAAATCCAGGGTTATGATTTTCAATACATCACATACATCAAGACCAATGTGGTGTACCATTTTCATAAAAACTAAGCATTCTTTTTATTGTATTTTATGTAGTTAAACAGACTTGAAATTATATGTGAAGTTTAGCTTAGCTAGTTTAGCTTGATTAGTATTTTTAATGATGGTGCTTCAGTGTGTGTTTGTTTGTAATTTTTTGCACTAATTGTTTCTTGTTTTTATTTTGTACCAATTGCTTTCACCATACACCATAACCATTCACCAGAAATATAATGCAGAATTTTTATTGCACTTGGAGCTTATTAGGACAAGGACTTATTCGTATAATGTAGGTGAGAACAAGAATGCTATTTAGAGCTTATGTTAGCTCACAGCACTGGTATCTAATTATCATGTGCACACTACCATCATCGGCATCAAAATTTATCTAGGCTTCTGTGCATTCACCATGTTTTTGAAATTGTGAAGGTCACTAAGCTCAGATCCAATAAGGAATTTTAAAAAGGTTATTTATCCAACCTGAATATATATTTAGTTCACGGGTAGTTGTGATTTTGAAATAACTGATGTGTTGTATTAAAACGTGTCAAGTAGTTTACACAAAGCCATATATCGTCCCTATTTTTACGAAGTGACGGTAGTGAGGAAAATCGTAACGCAAAGTGAATGCAATTTTTTTTCACTACCGTCACTTTGAGAAAACAGCGACGATATATTTATTTGAATTTTCAATCATTATATGAATATTTGATCTGAAATCAATGGGGAAAATGCTGAATCACTTTGAGGTTACACATACTTGTCGTTGACAAAATGTGTGCTTTGTCATCTTTCAAAATCAAGAATAGGTTATCAAATTATTTATAATAAAGGGCTAGGAAATATATTGCAAAAGATTTTTGTTCACGAATACAGTCAAACCTGTCTATGAATGTCACCCAGGGGCAACTGAAGACTGGTCATTGTAGACAGGTGGCCTTTCTAGACAGGTTCTTCTAAACATTTTTCTCTCAAGGGAGACAAAATACATGACCACTGTAGACAGGTGGTCTTTATAGAGAGGTGGCCACTAAGACAGGTTTGATTGAGTGTGTATTTGAAATGCAAGTTGATACAACAAGGAGAGGCTTCAATGCTGCCTTTGAGTGTTATATGTATTGCTCTTTTTATATTGCTTTTCCAAGGGATTATAAGGGTGCATTAATATGTGTGATATATATAAAAACAATATTTTTTGTTTACATTGAATCATAGGCAAATACCAATATGGTAACTGACAAAATGATTATACGTTTTTTAATACTTTGTTGTCATATATGATTAGTAGTAACATTTTTTGAATATTGAATAACTGTGTTCCAAACTCTGAATTATTGTCCTTATGATTTTTTTAAAGTTATTTTGTACTGAAATAGATTTTATTTGTGTAAGTAGAATATTGTTTTTGCTTCTACATTAGTTGTCCTGCATTAAAATGAATGAATCAGAGCTTGCTTAGACCAACACTGCTATTCATATACTCTGTAATAACATGTTTTGGATAATAACCTTTTAAAGCATAGCGTATGCTTATCAAGTTCATTGCTGATTTGTATTCAAATGTGAAGAACACATTTTTTAAAGACACATCAGTTTTGCTTGCTTACTCTTTTAGAATTAACCTAGTCATAAACTGAAGAATATTTTAACTTAAGTGTAACTTGACCACAATGAAATTATGAGTAGTATTCTCGAAATACTGTAAACAAACTTTTTATCTTATGAATGAAGTCCTGAACATGTGTGAAATTTGTGTATTTTATGTTGCTAACTGAAAAAAATATGTTGTAGCAATTACTGTGTGCATTGTGTATTCATTTAATGCCTATTGGGGTGAATGAATGAATGAATTATATTTATATTTGATTTAAAAATTAATGACATTTGATATACCTTATCATGCATGGTATGCATGCTCTCATTTACATAATCTTAATTTAATGATCTCTTTATAAAACTGTACAGATGGATGTAAATGTGCAATGCAAATGTATATATTGTTCTATATTATCAATGTAATTGTAAAATAAATTGATCGATTCATACAAAAAAAGTTCTTTTTTGTTCGTTTGTTTTCCTTATTTTGTTTTAGCAGACTGCTCACAAGGGGTTCTAACATCTAAGAGCAATATGATCAATTTTTTCCAAATGGCAATTTTACGTTTGAATTTTTGTTGGTGGACCACCATAGTCTTATATTGAAGTTTGTTGAAGTTTTTAAGAGAGCGCTGAAAAGTCACCCTTTTGATGAATGCTTCGAGTAATTATTATGTAAACCTACATTGTACATTGTAAAGCACTTTGAGAGGGCCTTCCGTCCTGAAATGCGCTATAAAAGAACGAACTATTATTATTATTATTATAGGCTTCAGGAACAGCTTATAACTTACAGGCTTAAAAGAAAACAAATGGTAGAATAAAAAGAAGTGAGAACAGCGAATTAAGTCATTAATATAAGGACAGTTTCTTTTTTCTTTTAACAGTGTTCTTTATAACGAGGTTCCATTGTATACACACTACAGATTCACACATTGAAAAAATAAAATGACAACATTATAAGGAATAGATAGACTCCTGAAATGCTTTTCATAGAACGCCTGTATCGCCAAGAAATAACAAAAAATACATATGTAATGTTTCGTCTTTGTTGGGGGGGGGGGGGGGTGGTAGAGGAGTGGGGAATTTCTCTGTAATTATTAAATGAAATTTCCAGGTTGTGGGCGAATTCAGTCTATCCATGGGTGATGATGCCGTTTCTGAATAAAACTTAAATTCATTGATAAAGTTTTATTAAGCGTTTAAAGCGTAGAGTATCGTAAATCACCTAGATTGTTCAATTAAAATAATTAGATAGCATATAGACCCCTACACTGAAGAAAAGTTTCGTTGAAAGGGGGCGCTATATGGAACGTGAGAGAAACGACAGAAGTATTGAACTATATAGGGTCCTAAAATGTTCACACACATTTTAACCGAAAATGGCTTTGATAAAGAAATTGAGGAATCCAAATTTTGGATTTACTCCTGCTGTGGTGGAGATATTTAACCAATTAAATCTAGGTAAACTAATTCGCCGTGTTCCAGTTTGTTTTTATTTACGTCCCTTATCCAGGTACACTGTGACATGTTCAGAGGGAGGTCCAGGGTTCAATGACTGAAATCAAACTTCAGCAAAAGTAGCGTGCGTAGTGCATTCAAGCGGGGCTTACGAGAAGAGATTTTTACCAGTCTTTTTTCTGTTTCCCGCGAAAACTTGATCAGCTGATAACGTGTTTGTATGCTAATTTCCATTTAACAACACATCAACATTCGCACACGTGCGCGGTGAAACAAGTGAGATGCTGTCAACGGAGAACGTGTCTTGAATTTGCTTTCTGAATATGTACATGTTGATAACTGTCATACTATATCTTTCTGCTTAGACGTTTGTCTGGTAATCCGGGAAGGTCCTGATCATATTCAGGGAGCGTGTGTCATTTGCGTTTAGTTTAAAATTAGATTGAAAATTTATGTCCACATAAATTTGTGTGTTGTGATTGACGTCCAATTTTGTTGCTAGAAATTCGCGGTTCAGCTCAGCGAACGAACGTGGGTAGGCCTACTCGCTCGCAGCTCGATCAGTCCACCGAATCTGCAGCTTTCATCTATCTCGCTGAACACCATCTTCTGTTCTGTTTTGCTTTGCCACTTTTCTTAAATCAATCATCATGCCAGGAGAATTATCAGAGTATGAAAAACGTCGATTGAAGAACATCGAAGAAAACAAGCGAGTTTTAGCTGGACTTGGCATTCTGAAACCGGTCAGTTTAATTTCCATTTTATTTTTTACTTTGTTTTAGGAGTAAACAACAGTCAATATGCAGATGGGAATAGAAATTAGACTAGATAAGAAGGTCACACTGCCTTAATCAATACATCATGAATGTTGTTGGTCCAGAATTTGGCCAATATTAATTAACAATCTCCCCAATGACGTGATCTCCCTCTGACTAGAAAAGAAAATCCCTCATTTGTATTTCACTTCCACAGTTCATTGCTCCAAAGAAGACAAGTGGAATCAAGAGGAAACGTCCATCTACTGCATCACCAAGAACACCTAAGACACCACGCCTGACAGATGCTGGACCTGATGGAGGCAGCGATTATTCACACTTTGGCAGAAGGCAGTCTAGGAGGTTGCGGGGAAGTGTAAGTTTCTTTTGCTGATAAAAAGTCTGCATGTATGTTTAGGAATATCGATCTTTCAGTGACATTTCCAGGATTCTCAGGCTTGTTAGGAAGGGGGCTCATCAATGAAATTCTATGATACACACAAAATACATGGTTATCACAATTGTTGACCCATTTTGATAATGAAAACGATAAAAATAGTATTAGGCCCTACTGCCATAGGGTCTACTGGATTTTTTTTATAGTGCTCATATTGTCCAAGACATCCATACAAGGAGTTTAAGGTGCCCCAATGTAAACATTCTCTGACAAGTTCTGGTAGTTGAAAAGAAATTAGAATGAAACTTGTTATATAAGCCCTCATGTTTTCCACATGTGCCAGATATTTTGACGTTCCGTCGATGATTCCCTTTAAAATTAAGTGAATGAAAGAACATGTAATGAAAGCTGCCAGTCTTTGTGTAAGTACAGCAGACCTCAATCTCACGCGTGTTCCTACAAAGCGTAGCACACACAGCTATATTCATTTGTTTTCACAGTATATTTCTATTTCTATGCCACATCCTTCTGTGTTTGTTTCCATAGCAACCGATAGAAGGTGGTGATGTTGATCTTGAAGCATTGGAACATAGCCTTGATCACCAAGATGCAGACTATAAACCAGTCAAGAGAGCTCCCAGAGATAACACCTTTGGATCCATACCAGGTATCAATGTACTTTGAAGACATGGTTTAGATTTTATTACTTGCCATTTAGAGACATATTATCATCTAAAGATGCAGATTCTGAGCAGGGTCAGGGGAAGGGGGTTAGGGGGGCTGTATGTGAGATGAACCAAATTTACAGACTAGTTAGCTGAAATTGTTCACAAACAAAATTATCAAAAAGTCTTGAGATTTCTAAATTTGACACCAGAGGCTTTGAAATTGTTCAAAGAAACAAAAACGTAACAAATCAAAAATAAACATAACTTTCTTTGGAGCTACTGCTATAAAAAAAGTTAACATTTTTTTAATTGTGTACAAGCTTTTAAATGGTCTCACCCCTTCCCTTCCCCCATTGAATAATTTTATATTATGTGTTGGAAGTGAACTTGATATGATATCCTGGGAGAAACTTTTATAGACCAACTTATAAATCATGTATGTACTTCATTTCCGAGGCCCTCTTATCTGGGCTTTTAAGTGGTGAAGCGAAATACAATGATGTAAACGAAGCTATTGCATTGGAAAATTTATTTGTAGAAATGTTTTCCATTTTTTGTTTATTTACACATTTTTTGTTGTTTCCCTCAAGGTATTGAAATTGGAACTACTTGGGAGATGAGAATGGAGTGCTCTAGAGATGGAGTGCATCGACCTACCGTTTCTGGTATCCATGGTAACGAAGATGGTTGTTACTCTGTAGCATTGTCCGGTGGCTATGAAGATGATGTAGACATGGGTGAATGCTTTACCTTCACAGGACAGGGTAGGTTATAGGTTTAATTAAATAGGCATTCTTTTGGTAAAAGATATATTGTAGCACCATGATTTTTTTTGCAGAAAGTTTATTATCCTTGGTCTGCATCAAGTGAAATATGGTCTTGCATTATTCTTAGGTTGATACCCCAGTAGGGGGATATGCCTGTGGTATTTTTTCTCTTAATTGCCCCCCCCCCCCCCCCCCCAACACACATACACACTCATTATTGGAACCAAGCTGTAAATGTTCATATTTATGGTCCTCTGTAAAGCAATCTGATTTGTAAATAGCTTCTTATTGAATTGAATATTTTTGTTGAAGATAAGGAATCCAGAAATGATCTTTAGTGGTCATACTGTCATGTATAATTTGATATATAAGTAAACAGATGATAATAAACTTTCGTTGTGATATTGGTGACCCTTTCTCTGTATTCATCAGGTGGAAGAGACCTTAAAGGCACCAAGAATAATCCTAAGAACTTGAGAACTGCACCACAGTCCAAGGACCAGACCTTAGAAAGAGGTAGGTGTACTTTTATGACAAGAAACATCTTTCCCAAACTTACTGTATGACAAGAATAAGTGATCCTGAATAGTAATATGATATCAACAATTTGTTTAACACTGAAAATCAGCTGTTCTTCTTGAGGCCCTGCAATTGTGTTTACCGTAGGTACCTGTTTACACCTGGGTGGAGAGTGGCAAGAGTGGAATAGCGTCTTGTCAAAAGACGTTTGTGCCGGGCCAAGATTTGAACCATCAACCCTTGGATTGAGAGTAAAGTGAATGAACCACTGCACCACTGCAGTCACACCTCTACATAGTAAAGTTGTGTGGACCAACAAAATATAAAAAAACTATTAATCATATTTTCTGACATGCACTTAGTTATGACTTGGCACACTATGCTAACATAGATCGGGACCAAAACCTCACTTATTTAAAAAATATTTATTTGCAGATCAACTTGGGTGACATGCAACAATGTAATCAATTCATTCAAAGGTGTATGAACAATTGTTGTTGTTGTTTTAGTTTATAGGCGTTTGTCATTCAGAAGTGAACGTGAACATTAATAGTCTAATTATAATTTTTTTCAATGATCGGACCCCATCTCAATCAGCAAAGACAAGGAACAAGAAAAATGGCCTCCTGCTTTTTCATTTTGCATTTATTTGTAGATTTTAAAGATGATGCAATTAGCTTGATTCAATGAATTATCAAAAATAGCTTTTTTCGATCTCTAACTTGGGAACCTGATTTTACCATTTACAATTCAAATTTTCCTTTTAGGGAATCTAGCCCTAAGCAAGAATGTAGAAATGGGGAATCCTGTCCGAGTCATCAGAGGTTACAAGTCACCCAGTCCTTACGCTCCAGAGGATGGGTATCGTTATGATGGTAAGAATAATAATAATAATACTCGGTTTTTATATAGCGCTCATTTCAATCACTAAGCGCTTCCAAACCTGGAGATTATTACCCCGGCTTTAGCTGTGCCGCCATTACGCGCTGTAGCATTTCAAGGAATTAATTCCTGCCAGGTACCCATTTACATCACCTGGGTTGAGTGTGGCAAATATATATCAATGTCTTGCCAAAGGACATTAGTACCGTGGCGGGTCTCGAATCGCGGACCTTGTGATCAACAGTCCGGTGACTTAACCACTTGACCACGGCATGGTAAAAATATGATACTAGACTTCTCTAGATATGAATTCTGTTTTTTAATTTGTAGTGGAAATATTCCTGAAATGTAGAAACTGTTGGCGTTTTATCATTATTTTTCATTTTCCCTGCCCACCTCCCTTACATTTCTCTCCTTGTTCATATTTTTCTGTTGGGGACACGAACCAAGGGTTGGCATTATAACTTTTACATATGGGACAGATATTTCTCTTGGTGCGGATAGGTAGCTGCCAATGTGGAAGGCATCTATACAAGCACTAATGACATTTACAATTTAGATTTGTTATAACCATATTAAAAATCCCTGCCTTAAATATAAAAGATAAATACACATAGTGTCTTAATGTGGCCATGTCTTTTCAAATTTGTGTAGTTTGGTAAAATGTTATAAAACAATGATCTCTAGGCCTGTGCCCAAAGTTTGACCTATTTCAAGCATTAATTTGAAGAAAAAAAATCATCTGATTCATGTACCACCCCAACCCTGAATATCTAGCTGAAAGTACTTCAAGCCATTCATTTTTACCCCTCTCTTTACCATCCAAGGTCTTTACTCTGTAGAGAAGTTCTGGTTCACCACAGGTCTCTCTGGGTTTGGGGTTTACAAGTTTGCCTTCAAGCGATGTCCTGACCAGGCCCCGCCTCCTTGGGAGGTGGATCAGGATGAAGAGAAGAGAGAGAAGGAGGAGTGTTCATCGGATAGTGGCTTCACAGAACATTCTGAGGAAGGTATAATCAAGTGAAGGTATAATGATGCAGGGAAAAAATTAATATTTATTTTTCGGGGGCTACTTTTCAAGCTTGCTTGCATGGAAATAACATTCTAAAATTTGTTTTGCATTGAACACTATGCAAATTTACAGGGGCTCTTTTCTGATATTCGGGGGCTATTTTGGGCATTTCGGGGGCTAATTCGCCCCGAGCCCCCGTGTATTTTTTTCACTTGTTATGATGTGTTGATAGCCCAGTATTCTCTCCAGCTAGAATTGCTTGGGGTTTTATTTCTTACAAGGTACTAAATTACAGTTGCAGTCAGGTTTCAGGTTAGGATTAAGGTTAGATACGGTCAATGATACAGTGTTGAAGTTGAAATGCCCTACTGTTAATTTGGTCATTGATTAACAAAACAAATGCAGTTATTTAATTCCTTTGCATTACAAGGTTTTAAAAGCAGTGATAGATTAAGAATTGTATTTTGGGGGTCGAGGCTAGACAAGGAATATTTCAAGTCACTCAAAATGTGGAGAGCTTGAGAACCACTCTTCAAAATTTACAAAAATATTACAAAAATCATAATTTCTAGTGGTAAAGCACTTGTTAGTTAATGTGTTTCATTGTATCCTTTGATGTGATATTTCCTGTGTTGGATAAATCAGCTACCAGTTGGTGGCCAGTGGCGCGATTAGTATGATGTTACTACATTTCAGTTGATCTGGCCTTTTATCTAACTGGAAGGCTTGCAACACCCTGCAATTTTGATATTGCTATTTGTATGACAGTTCAAGACTTTGATCAGGAATAGAAAAAAATGTTCCATTTTGTCTGTTTAGAGCCAGAAGGGCATTGACTCATATACTTCAATGCAGATTTAATGCTTTTCTGGTTCTAAAATAACTAATGATTACATACTACTTTAAACTAGTTTGCGTTTCTTTCAAAATCAATCACAGTTGGCTTGTAAGGTGTGGTGAGCTTTAATTGAAGAATTACAACTTAGGATCTTTATGGTTATTTGTGTTTCTTTGCTTTTTTCAGGTTGAAGAGGACAAGAGTAGTGAGACTGCCGAGGACATTAGTGAACTCTCACCAGCCAGTAGCCCTCAGAGCAGTCACTGATTGGTCAAACTGCTATGATGTCATCCCTTATAGAGCTCTGATTGGTCTAAATGTTATGGCATCACCAGCAAGCGAGCAGCTGTGATTGGTCAATTGTTTGTGTTATGATTAGGTTGAGTGTAATTAAGTACTAATCTGTAATGATATCATTATTTGTTATTGGCCATCATTACATCAACAGTAAGTTAGATGTTATTGGAAAGCCTGCGTTTTTATCATTTTATCAATCTTTCTATGATCATTATGTCTTCCAATTTCTGTATCATGTATGTGTTGTTCAATGGTGTAGTGTAGGTTTGGTCAGGGGAGGGAGGGGGGGGGGGTCCTGGTTTTAATAGATACACAAAAATATGAGGATCTGAAAGGAATGGGTAAGAAGTTGTATTTTCTTTTTTTTACACCGTTCCTCGATTCGTTCTCTTCTTTTGCTCATTTTCCCCCTTCGTTTTCACTCTTTGCCTGTCAAAAAAGGGGGAAAACAGGAGGGGGGGGGGTTGGGAAGGGGGTCTTCTATAATATATGCCAACCACTGATTGTTCATATTTGTGTTTGAATTTTATCTGTTCTAAATTTCATTATGTACTATCTTTATCTCTCTCTCTCTCTTATTTCACCCTTTGTGTCCAGTTCTTTCAATCTCTCTTATATTGTCTCTATTGGATCTACCAAACTTCCAGTTTTTACGGTATACATGTATGTTATTTTAGAACTCGTGATGGAAGTTACCTATATTTCAATTTTTGTCTTCCTTCATAAAAATTGCATTATGTAGCTTGATACAGGGTTGGTGCCAGTTTCATTTAATATGATTACAGAAACTTTCCAGTCAGATAGGGTACTAGCCATTACTTGTGTATACATTTAGCAATTGTTCTTGTCAATGCACATACAAGGCAAATCAGTTACATGAAATCTGGTAATTTTTTTCTTTGGCGGGGGAGGGGGGGGGGGGGTAATGTAGATTGTTTTGTCATTCTCAGAATTTTGCAGAGGTATGAACAGTTAGATGTTTGCTGGAAAATTAGGGATCATAACAGATTCCTGGTCTGATATTTTCAAAATACTCTTCAAAATAAAAACAGTTAATTGGAAAGTAAACGCTTTACCCTACATAAATACCACTTGCTTTTATACCCACTGCTTTTAGTTGATAATTTTAGGACTTTCCTTTTATAATCTTTGCTATGTAACTGACACCAATCCTGTGAATGTATGTATATATATATAAACTATGTTTGTATTCAGCCAGCTAACCATTCACTGCCAGGTGGTTATATATTCATGTCTTCCAGTATTACTACTAGAATTATTATGGATATGTTTTCTTGAAATATTGTCCGGTGCTGAGAGCTAGAAGGGTGTTTAAATCAGTCTCTGTAAAGTGATGCGAGTTAATGCCCTTCTAATGCTCAGGAGATGACATAATGTGTGTTGTATATTTGTACATAGATGTAGATGTAGTTTAGGTTTTGCTCCACGCACTGTATACCCAAGTGACAAGATAAACGAAGCAGTGGCTGAAAGTAAGATTTGATAAATGTTCTTGTATTATCTGATCTTTCTCATCACTGTTTTATCGATCCTGCAAATTGTTAATTGTTGCTATGGGGCTATTTGACCACTACTGGGGAACCCTATCAATAGCAATTTTAGCGGGGGGGGGGGGGGGGGGGGGGTATTATCTTATCTTTCTTACCGCAGTTTCATTGATCCTGCAAATTGTTAATTGATGTTACGGACCTTTGACCACTATTGGAGAACCCTATCAATAGCAATTTTAGGGGGAGGGGTTATTATCTTTTCTTTCTTATCACAGTTTCATTGATCTTGCGAATTGTTAATTGTTGTAATGGGGCTTGACTAGTATGGGGGGAACCCTATCTCTAGCAATTTTGATGATGGTGAGTCACTGGGCTCTTTCTCCAATTAGACAATGCATTAATCTATTTCACCTTGCACCAAATGTTGTTTGGTTACAGTGTGGTGTGTTTACCATTAGATCTTGTTAGATGTTTCCAAGCAATGTGTCTGTTATGCATTTTATCAAGTCTTTGGTGTTCATAAGTCATTATCTTTAGGAGCCCATTTCTTAATAATGGAGGTGATGATTTTGAGGGCCTTTCCTGTTGCTTGATGCATATGAGCCTATTCACCCTTTGATATCTTCAATAGATTTTTAAATGTACAGTCTTGAAGAAGTAAATATTGTCTGTATAAAGCATGAGTAGATTTTATGAGTAGATTTGTAGTGGTTTGTTTTCAATTTCTCTATATGTCATTTTCTAGTTACGAGCTGTAGTAAGTAGTTGTAGGAACTGTTATTTTAAACTTCAAATTCAACGAAGTACAATTCATGCAACGTTTGGAATCATACTTTATTGTTGCTGCATATTGGGTTGATCATGGTGCTTAGAGTAATAACCAGTACTTAAAATTATATGAAATACTTCTTGAAAACTAAGAGGACATAAAGGTGACATCTCCAAGCAAATTTGTTACGCACACTGCTTCAGAATATATGATTGGTAGTCGTAGAGAAATGTCAGACTTTAGGAGGTAAATCAGAGTTTCTCTGAGATGTAGAACAACTGTTGTAAATAAGACAATTGCCAAATATTACTTCTTATGTGCCAAGTTAAATTGAATTCTATTTTTTAAGAGGTGGTGTTCAAGTTTGTGTTAAAATGATAAGATGTTTAGTGCATGCATCCAATTCGGTCCATTTCCATACTTGTGGATCTACATGTTCAAGAGTTCAACGTTTCAACTATATTTGAGTATGCATGTATGTACTTACATTTAGAAAACTGTTGCTATTTCAAACATTATTGAATTTTGTATTACATAAGCAGAGGTACATTTTACCATTTTTTAAACAGTACTTAAATGTGAGTTTGTTTGATGTACTAGTATGCATAATTATGTGAAATTTTTTATTGTTCTGAAGAATTTGTATTTTCATTAGTTCCAAGGTTGGCCATACAGAATGGTTTTGATATTTTAATATGTTGCTATTGCTCATTAATATGTAACTTGCTTTTCATTGTTTCATTGCCCAATTTCAATTTATTTTAGCCAGGTTATCTTGCATTGTCATTTTTGTCAACATACAGAAGTTTGTGCATGTTTCTGCTATTTTTGTTTTTTTAATACCATTGAAATATTTTACATTTATTTCCAGACTTTTTAGAGAACAGACTATGACTTAATCTGCAGGTAATCATGGGTTTTATGTTTATCCCCATTTCAATACAGTGCATTTGTCTTGTTCTTACTTGAATTTTGCCAATTTTTGTTGTGCAGCATGGCTGAATTATGATGTTATAATGTGACTTTTAATGCACTAATTAGGCAATCAATGGACAAATAACAATGGGTGTTCTTTTGAAGACATTTTTTTTTAAATTTTAGATTTTACCTCTGGCTATATGTCTCTTTTGATAATAAACAATTCAATGATTTTTGTTAAACAACATGTTCAAGTTTTCATTTTTGTCCAATCTCCTTATGTATTGCAATCAGTGTCATAGCATGAGTCCTGCCAATGATAGGATACTGTTTTCAGGTAGAGAGGGGGACTTGCTAAGTAAATAAAATGCTAAAGAAGAAAGACAATAAATGGGGCTTGGGTGGGTAAGGGGATGCAAACTTTTTCATTATTCCTTCCTCTCCCTTTCTCATTCTTTCTATGCCACTGATGGGGAGGGATTATTCTCAGATAGAGAGGGCAGTAGGATGATGAAGAGAGAAAGATTGAAAATAGAGGACATATTTTGTTTGTAAGGAAGACATGTATAGTTGTTGTTTTTTTTAAGAGAAGAGGAGGGGCTTCAGAAAGCTACTAACTGATAAATCTGTGTATGATGATCAGAGGTTTTGGGTTTTTTTTGCTTTTCCCCCAATGTATATGAATTACATATAACAATTTTACCTTGAAATTGATAAGGTGCACATAGCATACGTTGACTGATGGAAAAGAAAAAATGACAGAAAAGTGCTGAATTAAATAATGCACAACCAGCTGTCGTCGGTACCCCTCCCCCCCCCCCCAAAAAAAGGGGAATTTTTCATATTTGTGTTCAGTTTGCAAGCTTGCAAAATATGAAGAATTATAAGTTGGTATTTGGAGGGAAAAAAACTACTGTCCCCATAGGCATGTCGATCTACTTTATCTGCTGGGGAAGGGGGGGGGGTGGCGAATAGTCATCAGAAGCATTCACTACACTGCATAGAAACTTATCCTGTGATTATATGGGGGGGGGGGGGAGGAGTGATGGGCTAACGGGCATCACAAGCGTTCAATGTATATGCAGGAATATAAATAAGATCTCATTTTATGATTTTTTTTTTTATTGTGGGGGGGGGGGCGGTGGGCAAACAGTTATCAGAAGCGTTCAATATATATGCAGTAATATAAATAGGATCTCATCTTATGATTTTTTTGGTTTTTATTGGTTGGGGGGGGGGGGGGCCGTGGGCAAACAGTTATCAGAAGCGTTCAATATATATGCAGTAATATAAAGAGGATCTCATCTTATGATTTTTTTTTTTTTTTTTGGTGGGGGGGGGGGGGGGACGGTGGGCAAACAGTTATCAGAAGCGTTCAATATATATGCAGTAATATGAAGAGGATCTCATCTTATGATTATGGGGGGGGGGGGGGGGACAAGCGTATAAACTGTGATTGGGTATGTATGATTAGGTCAACATCAATCTTTACAATGCTCAATTATTTGTTAATAAACGGAATGTTTAGAAAGGTCGATCAAATTTTAAAAGCACAAAGCACACATCACATAAAACAAAACAAACAAAATGTTTACCAACCATGAATTTTATTATCGAAAGTAAAGAAAGTTATCTTTTTATTGATACAGAAATTAGTGTACAGAGATATTGCACATGCGCAGTCGATTCCTATTTGATACAGAAGTCATTGCACGTCTAAAGATTACTGAAGCTGGCCATAGGAGGAACATTCATCTATCTTCTATCATAAATCTATATTTTCACGTACTTAGTAATATTTTTTTAAAAATAATGACAAATTCGTATTACTGAAACCACTGGATTGAAACAGAGATAGAAGCATTATATTATGCAGACTTTAGAAACAGAGAGAAAGATACAGCATTGCGTTGATTTAAACAAATTATTCAGTCCTAAAAGCCTCCAAAATTATTTTTCATTTGTGAAATAAATACATGTGTAAATCCATTTCAAAATTTGAAAATATCTATACCATCATCAAGGCTCCCTAAATTCTATAATTTTTAGGCAATAAAAAAAAAACGGGTACATTGACGACAACTCATTTACATGCCTGTTTCCTTAGAGACAAACAACGGCACCAAAAAAATGTACTACACATTTAAAGTGGTATCACCCCCTAAGTTATCTTAATCTGAAGTTTTGTGTAGATTTTTCATAATGTAACGAGTCCAGTTTTTATTCAGAAAACAGGAGAAAATTTCAATTCTTGATGCTTAATTCATAAAGCTTAAGGTGTTCTGTTCGTTATTATGACATAACAAATCATCCATTTTTTTTCTACGAGCAAAAATGTTGTAAGAGTAGATTTGATATCCCAAAGTTGGTCCTGTAATTTGGACAATTAGTAATCGTCAAAAATGGTCATGTCTGTGGATTATGGTCTTGCTATAAGGCACTTCTATTTACTTTTATTCTATTCATCGCACTAACAAGAACATACATTTGAGATATATCTACTAAGCATGCTTTCTTATTGCATCATTTTGTTCGATTATGTAAAGTTTACTCAATTAACTTCATCTAATATATTATAACAAAATACCAGTCCGTCCTAACTTTCCACTCTACGCCCCCCCCCCCACCCCCCTACTCAGCGTTATTTAGGGTACGAATATGCGTGTTCCCTCCTTTTGAAAACACCCCTTTAAGTCCGGTGTGTAAAGTTAATTTTGTGTACTACGAGCCGGACTTTGGTGCGTAAAAAGTACCCCTTTACCGGACATTTTGGTAACACGCATGCGGTCATGACGACCCCGGAGTGGGGGGGGGGGGGGGGGGGCGGGCTCTACGCACATCCATTTTCGGAAAACTTTGCCCATTACAGACAGGAGCAGTTAATGCTAGTGAATGGGGACTTCTTTATAGCTTACACATCTAAGAAAAATTAAATCAATATCGCAATTGTATCTATCACCATCTTAAAGAAGCTATCAGACATAGCTTAGTGTGTCCACATCAGTATTAGATAGCAGAATTTCTCTATACCTGTACCTTTTTCTCACGAATTACAATTGACATTGAACTTAACCTTTATGCTGTCTTATCTTACAATATACCAATTAATCTCTAAAATTCTGACGCTCTATTTGAAAACTGTAAAGCACTTTAAACATATCATGACGGTGTTGCGAATGTTTGCATCTCATTTTAAGATAATCGTCCTCATTTGGAGATATGCTGTCAGGTTTTGAAACTTATTTTTTTGAAATATTGAACACAAATATTATGAAAGTTTGCTTGGTTTTCCCATTTAAAACACAGGCGGAACAAGAAAATATACAGGAGAGAGTGACACATTATAACATTTGTAAAAAGTTTGTTCAATTATAGCATTCATTTCGATTTTCTTACATGTAAGTGATACAGGAATCAAAATGCAAATTATTTTAATCTGCTTATAATCATGACGATGATAATAGAGTAATTTATTTTATCCAATTTTATAAATAGTGGATATTTTAATACATGCATACATATTCAATGAATAAACTCATTGTTTTGTCCTAAGAATAATTAACTTTTTTTTTTCAACAATCCACAAACGTGCGTCGAAACGTGGGCAGAAAGATAATTTTGTGCCGTGTGAAATATTCAAATTAGGCACAACTGCCGAATTGATACAACTGCGCGATTCTGTACATATTATTAAGGCGTCATTAAATCAACCATGACACTAATTACCATAAATTCTGAACTATTTACAAATGCTTGCATTGCCTTATCCAGCTTTATGATATATTCTATTATTATATAATATTTACATATATCTAACTCTATAAAGTTATGCATAGTACGGAATTATAAATGTACATATGTATGCATGAATGTCTCATTTGCATAACAATGAGAAAGAGCAAGTAATCAAGGTTAAAGTTCATTTTCGCTGTATATTTCCCAAATTTATAAACCACAAGAAAGAAACAAGCTTACATGATTGAGATAATCATTTCGTAAAAGCTGTTAAAAATATCTTGTTTCTTTGTTTTTGTACATTGACATCCTTTTTTGAAATATTGTAATGTTACATTATGACTTTGTAGAGCTGCCATTCAGGCCTTCTATTATTTCGGCAGATTTTTACCCCATTCCCAAAATATCAATCATTTACAAGGTTAGTTATACCCCTCTTGGTAAATAGAATTAAAACAATTACAATTTGTATTTTACTCATTAACATGGGTATATGTTTACTTTATCAGGGGGAGGGGCAGCCAAACCAAATCTGTGGCAATGAAAGGATTAATAATGCTCACATCTGTAAATGGAATAATGAAATACATACAGATTGCCCCCCCCCTCCCCCTGATTACTATAATGCCCTTACATGATTTGTTCTCTGATAAAATGTCAATTATAAAGAAACAAAGACAGAATACAAGTACAGAAGCACTACACAATGGTCGGAAAAACAGTGAATGTTGGCAAAAATGTGCAGGTGCATATAATGACTGACTGCCATGAAACTACTGAAAGACATAACGTAGCCATACTCATTTATTGGGGAAGAGAATAACAAGAAAATATATAACCTCTTCGGCAGCACATTTTTCTATAGTATCTGTTTTGTATTTGTGTATTTTTTACAAGTTCTAAAGCACACCTAATCCAACTGGAATAGTTCAACAAATTGGGAAGAATGAAACAGATTGAAAAATAGTAATATGTAATAATATATATCAATTCAATAAACTTAAAGTTCAAAATAACAACATACAAATAGAAGCGATATTGATAAATCTTAAGAAATGCTATAGGCACACACAAAAAGTTTACATTTTCATGTACAATTATTGTCAATTGTCTGAAAAACACAGATTCACAACTCAATATCATGAAACAAAAATGATCATATCAAATTTATTTTCAATATCACTCCTCTAAGGGTCTTTTATACATAGTATGACATACACGGAATGTTTTTGATATACTTGAGCATCTATATGTAGTAAATAAATAGTTTCCAAGAAAAGCTGTACCACAATTTATTGTTGAATCCTCAGCTAACGCTCACAGGCATTGCAAAAAAAGGTGACACAGCCAACTATATCTTTCATTACAGTTCCTCTCATCTCAGCAGCACTTGCTTGCATTTGCAACACTCCTCTTAGTACAATTGAATCGTCCAAGCCTCATTTTATTCTTCCCTTCCATGACACTAGAAGGGAGAATTAAGAGGCAACCACCATATTTGGAATGGAATTGTCCATATCATTCCTGACTGTTTCGTCTTTCCCTATCAAGTAATACGTCATCAGTTCACCTTTACCTTTGACCTTTACGAGTCCACGCTTTTCAAATTTGAAGCCGTATCTCTTCAGGATGTTCATACATGCTTCCACAACCTGGTGAGATATTGAGAGAAATGGAAAATCAGAAATTATTTGCACAGCCAAGTTTTTTAAATTCCTTCACACACAAGAAACATCTATTCAATTACCAAATATTCTTTCTCCAAAATGTCTTTCATATTATCTTAAACAGATATCACCATGATCACAATTTCTAAATAGAAAAAAGACTATTTCTAATAATACCAAATGTTAAATACAATATTATTGTAAATGCTGAGGTTTAAGCCCTGTTTTCATGGCATTATTTCACAGTTTAAAATGAGGCCTAAAAAAAAAAGATGTGGTATTTTCCCTTTGCGACCGACCCAAAATCTTGAAATCTAATACGGTCGGCTTTTTAAAAAAGTTAGTTTTTTACCGATTTTTTTAGAAAAAAATGTAGAAAAGAATTCAAAACTAAATATCAGCCCAAAGAGGGAGTAAAAAAAAAAGATTTCCGACTGACTGACCCATGTTTTGGCACCTAAAGGGCAGTACAACATCTTTTTTTAGACCTAAAGTTACCTGAATTTTTCCTGGTTGTCCCGTGCTCTCCATCCTACTGGAAACATTGACAGTATTTCCCCAGATATCATAGTGAGGTTTGGTTGCTCCGATCACTCCGGCTAAAATAGGCCCGTGGTTGATACCTGGATCGGAGGAAGACAGACAGACACATCATTACCAATTTCAAAGTATTTTCTACTCGGGGACCTAGAGAAGATATGTGGGGTGTGACAGAAACTTTTAGAATGTCTAAAGCGGTTTTTGTGTGTGTAAAACAAGTACAATACCCCCAAAAGAGCGTGTGAAAGAACATATAATTTGGGAAATGCTAAGACTTTTTACTTTTGGTATTGCCTAAACAATCAATCGAGGAAAGCTTATCAATTCCCTGGTATTGTTAACCCTAGTTAAGTGATTTGTTCAAACGGGGGAAATAGCGTGGGCAAAATTGCATTTTTCTGAATAGTAAAGGTTTAATCTGTATGCAAGACAAGCCAACAGATGGATAGAACTTCACTTTTATCTACTCAAAATATCCTCACATTGACAGGATATTTGTATGTCTGCTATATAAATATCTTATAATATTTACCCGACTCTAGAAAAATAGCAACATTTTCGCCCCTTCCCTTTTCAACACAGAGTTAAGGAGATGAAAATAACTGTTATAAGAACAATAAAAAAGTAGCAGTGTATTTTGTTCATGAAAATACATGACTGCAAAATATATTCTATTCTTTAATTCATATAATGAACAACTGCTAACCTATTTTGAGCATGAAGTTATTAAAGCTCTGTGCGTTGATGGTATCCAGTGTATTGCGCATTGAGAAGGCTAGATCGACCAGGTCAGCTAGATGCTGCCATCTCTCCATGTCATCACGGTAGTGAATCTCTTCCGGGTTAGGAAACACTCCAGATGCTGCCATGTAAGTACTGTTGATGGTCTTGATCTTGAGAATGGACTTGAACCGTGGCTCATTGAGAAGCTGAGGGGAAAAGAGAGAAAAAACGTTAAGAGGTTTTTTTCAAAAATTATGAATGCTTCAAAAAAGTTCAGATCCGGGGCTTTCCTCATAAGCCTACTACTTTCATATATTTAGTAAAGAGAACAACAACAAATTCAACTAACAAAACACGTGGCTAACGTTTATATCATATCAGTATCGTTTGGGATACTATGTGGCTAGAATGTCAGAAAAAATGTTGAATTCTGTAACCAGGATATTTCAAAATTCGTTTTATTGTAAAAATTAAGAAACAAAATTAGAAACACAAAACGTTTGAATCGAGAGTTCAATACCCCTATCTGATTGCTACAATTAAACAAGGCTTTTGATAATAACACTAAAACAAATATACAATTATATAAAACAAATTATGATAGATAAATATATATATAGTAGATTATATATAAATAGATCAAAACCACATCTGATTCATACTATTTCATAAATTCCAACAGGCAATGAGATCAAAGGTTCTTACATCATCGAAATCACTGATGATTTCGTTGAGGAATCGAAGGCATTCAGTGCCCTGGTTGTTGATCGCATCTTCAGAGTAGAAGTCAGAAAAGTTTGGCATAGATGCAAACATAACACCAGACTCTGTGTAGCTCTGAGCATACAGTTCCTGGGAATAATAAAGAACACAAAATGAAAGTACTAATTTTAGTACAGTGTAGCATGGTTGTTTGGTTTCATCTTTGTATATGTTTCAACGCACCTAGGAATGTTCTGACAACCATAATGTTCTGATGCCCCTATTTGCCGATAACTCAATGTTCGATTATTCCGACGCCCCTATGGTAAAAGCCCAGTGTCCGCCAATCCCACTTTCCAACAATAATGACGTTCCGACACCTGTATGTTCCGCCTGACAAGTATGTGTTTCAATTCTCCTATTAAGGTTTAAGGCACCATACATTGAAATACCATTGGATATACCACCGGTGCCACCAGACCAATTGAAACCAAACAAACACAAACCAGCGAAGTAACATAGATCACAATGAGTCCCTTCAGTCAGTCACTGAGTCATGGTTTGCAACCACTGCCACCAATTGCATACCAGTGGAATCAAATCAATAGCAGGTGCCCTGAGCCGATATACATGACTCCCTTATAGATTTATATAGTAAATAATAAAATCAGTTCTGATTTAACTAATTTACCACAATAAATCATATGTATCTACCTATTATTATATATTCCTCCAGACAAAGCAGTCATCGGAAAAATACCCCTAGGCCAAATTCGGTAATGTTGCTCAGCACTTTTTGAAAAAAAGTAAACGGCCTTCACAAGACGGAGCATGATTACAATATCACTGAAACTTCGATAAACTACCATTACATCTTAAGTTCCTTAACTTTGCAGCTAGACTCCTTACCTCCTCACTCTTCTTACTGCCTAAGAAATGTTTAGCCACATGTTCAGGCATGATGTTCAGGACCAGGTTCTCGTTCTTGACTCGCATTCTCCCCACCTCTTCCTTCTGTTCTTTCGCTTCTGTCTTCCAGTAAAACAGCAGCCGTGACGTTACCTCAAGCTGGCGAAATAGAGAGTAAAGATAGATTAAAAGGGGTGTAATACAGAAAATTTCAATGGGACGTTTTACATTTTCAACCCTTAATTGACAATTTTAGACCAATTCTTTGAGTACTTACGTGAGAATTAAAATAGATGAGAGCAGCTGCGACAACAACAAGCTGGACGGTGTTAGCTATCCGACTAGCTACTTCATTGTGATCTCTGTGAAGAAATTAAACACCAAGAATTTCATTTCAGTAACAAGCTAAAATAGCAATAATAGTTTCAGATTTTAAACCAATCAAGGCGTTATGTGGTTAACTGCCACAGTGATTAGTTGATACATCGATCAAAAAATATGGATTATCTAATAGAAAACCATTCATGAACGTTGCCCTCATCATTACCGTCACTATGACTATCATATTTATCATCATTATCACCCTATTATCACCATATCATCATCATCAGCATTTATTAATATTATTTTCTTTTTTTTATCATTAACAGCATCGTCAACATCACTACCATCATCAATATCATCCTCGTCATAATCGTCCTAATTTTGATCATCAACATCATCATTGTCATTGCATCATCATTATCATCATCATCATCATCAACATAATCATCATCTTCATCATCATCATCAACATAATCATCATCTTCATCATCCCCATCAGTATTACCATGATCATAAGCATCATTATCAACAATTCACAACCATCACCATTACCATGCCATCATTATCATACAATCATCATCTTATCATCAAAATATTCCTCCTCCTTATCATCTATATCATAATCATCATCTACATCACCATCATCTTCATTACCATGCCTCATTGTTGTCACTTTTCAAACACACATCATCCCCATCGTCATCCTTTACACAACACCTTCACCAAGATCATCTTTGCCATCAATAGTGTGTGTGTGCTAAATATTGTCTTACGTGGATGGCATGCTATCCTCAAGGAAGTCATCAGGGCGGTTGTAGAGGATGGGTTTGATGACATTCATGAGGATGCAATAGAATGCAGTAATGATGATGGTGAGGAGAAACTTAACAATGTGAGTGATCTGGAACATGGTGGTTATTACAGCCTGCAAAGAGAGGTAGAGAGAAAAAAGAAATCTATTGAATTACACCGGGAATTACAGTTGAACATTTGAAAAAGGGCATCATTGTGCACCGTTATACCAACTTTACAATGTGATGAATTCAAAGGGTTAGTTGTCAAATGATGCATTTATGCATACCATCATCAATAGATCAATTATATAATTGATAGCCACTTTCTCAGTAAAAAAATAAAACCCTCAGTGATTATTAACTCCTTGCATGCCGTAGGTCAATATCATGAAGCATCTTTTCCCCCTCAAATAACATTTGAGCTATTTTTTTCTTCAAATTTTGAAATAATTATTTTTCAAATTTGAACAAAAGAACAGCATTTGAGTTATTTAATTCATAATATTCTTTATAAAAAGACTCTGTCAGTCAATCCTTCTACAATATTTTTCCAAAAGAAATATATATTCTAATGAGCCACAAAATGTATATTTACTCACGATGAACTAAGAATCGGCTAAAATTTTAGTACGTTTGATATGAACAAATACGTTATAAGAAAGGCTTTTGCGAGAGTCTATTGTTTTAGTATTACTTACCATGACAAGTAGTAGCATATAATTGAAGTAGTGTGGATTCAAACAACGAAGATCTCTTGGACTGAGATTGGTGACATTATCAGATGACTCATCAACGCATGTCAACTGCAGAAAGAAAAAAAACAAAAACAAAAACATGGAGAGTATGATTCTATGTAATGTATCACTTACAACATATGACCTCTTCCATTTCTTTCATTCAATAATGAAGAATCTCTTGGCATAGTAATAAAATAATATTATCGATACCACAAAGAACCAACATTCAACGGTCGAATCAAGAGATTTTCATTTCAGAATTAAATTAATAGAAAAAAGTTGTTTGTTGTATGACAAACATCTTTGTTTGTTAAGACAATATTTAGCACAAGCAGGCTGGATGTTTCAGGCGAAGATGACGATGGACCCATTCCACAGAAGTGAGATCTTGTCAACAAAAGAACAGAAGACAATCAGAAATTATTGGGAAAACTCGTTGCACATTAACTGCACAAGATTAAAAGACAAAGATTGCATTAAAATACATAAAATAAAAGTATAAATTATTTGATAAGCAGAGAGAAAACAAATCAAGGCTGAAGAATGTAATAATTTAGGTAATGGGTAGAGATTTTTTTTTAATGAAGAATCAAATTACAGGTCATTCTAAACGAGGGTGAGATAATAGGCCAATGAGAAAAGTAGAAGAGTCTGTTTAGTATCATGGGGTGAGTGTAAAAAATGACCCAGAATATAATGCATAGTATTCATGATGGATTTAAAATGGGAAATTAATAGCATTGAGAGATTGGTAACGTAGGCTGATAGAAAACAAGAAGAGGAGTATGTTTATAATGTATGTTGAAGATAGTAAGATGATATCTCATTCATGTGAAGAAATATGGAAGTATAATATATGAGGCCACCCAAAGGAAACAGAAAAAGTGGCCACTGTAGACAGATGGCCTTTATAGAGAGGTGGCCACTAAGACAGGTTTAACTGTACTTTACTGGTATCATTAATAACTCAATACCGAATTGCAGGTGATGGAATTTCAGTAATCTCAAAGACCAGTAATAGAGGAGCCATAGCATATAACACTGAGTTCCTATAGGAAATATATTTATTCAGATGGTCATATCTCAGCCAAAACTTTTGGACATTTGGACATTATTTTTTATGCTCTTTCCGAAAATGAAAAAAAAATTGAGAAATTCTAAAAATAGATTTTTGATGACATCACAGCTTTGGTAATCTATTCTTTTAAACTGAGACATGTGAGGGCGATCTACTTACCACGTCTGCAATATCCGTTACAGACACCAAGGCAATGATGAAGGTTGCACACATAATCCTTGCCCATGGCGTGCGCTCAACAAACGTTGCCAATTTGATGAGAATGGATGGATAGCTTTTCTTGAAGCTCGGTGCAAGAGAGACATAGGTTATGATGGAGAGAACGACGAAACACACACAGAAAGTTGCGATGCTTATTGCAGTTCTGGAAAAATCGGGGAGAAATGGATTTGAAGAAAAAAAACTGAATAAATTTCCTCGTTAAGTATACCTTTTCACAATCATTAGTTCCCTTAAACATCACCAATGCAGGAGAAAATCTATGTTCTTGAAGAGACTTCAAAGAATGCTTAACCCTTACGAATATAGACTTACATGACACGAATAAGGGCGCGTTCATGCTTGATTTTGACGGCCAGAATCAGGCATCTGTTACGCGTTTAGTTTAAAACACGATTGCGTTCATGCTCACTTTTGTAGAATCACCGAAAAACGGCGATCACGATCGCCGATCGTAAACTCACAAAAAGATGCGTTTACAATTTGTAAACGCGTTTAAATGGGGTCAACGCACTGACCTCTAGTGGGTCTACGTAGCATGTGCACACAGGTTTGCGAATCCAGCTGAAGGCCACCCAAGGAGAATTGCCTGGAGAAGTGAGCATGAACAGTGCACAGTGGAACTGCGATTACGATGAGCGTTTACGATGAGCGTTACAAATCGCTCATTCTGCCTTCAAAATCAAGCATGAACGCGCCCTTAGAAAACCTATCCAAAAAGAATATCAAGTTTAGAATTTTGTTTTAAATCCACTTGCAAGAAACTAGCTTTCAATATTGGTACATTGGTATGACTTTATGGAGGGGAGGGTAATAGACGAACAGGGGAATAATTCTTTTCTTGAGGCATCATGCAAATATAACACGCCTATATTTTGTTACAACGATAAGGGCAAAAACTTGATTTAATTTGCCATAATTATGGTAGGGCTAAACAAATCATTTGGAATCGGGTCTTCATTTATTTCACTCCAGGTTTACAAAATAAAATGCTCCTTTAGTCAAGTTCTAATCAATTCATGCAAACCAATATGAATCAGAAAGAAAATGCTAATGACCAAAGAAGAGAGGAAATGATTAATAACGTCCTTTGGCAAGGTATTGATCTACATTTGCCACTCCATACCCAGGTGAGAAATGGGGACCTGGTAGGATGATGAATGCCTTTGCGTTAGTAACTGCCATATGCCCTCACAGTGACCATAGGATTGGAATACTCCCCAGGCCCCGGGAATTAAAGATGGTGCACACTGTGCGTGAGTGAATACGATGACAGGGGCAATAATATCTGTAAAGCACTTATTTCGTATTTAGCTTGTTATAAATCCAGAATAATATTATTATTCAAAGACTTACCTTGGTAACATTAGAAGTTGTACTAAGAATACAAAGAATACAACGACGAGGGCACTAGATATACCGGCAGCGCTCATCCGATCTTTTCCTTGTTGGAAACGAGATTCCATTGCTTTATCCTTGAAACGCAGTAACAAGAAGTACATCTTCTCACCGAGTTTCCTGGAGAAAAAAAAACATTAACCTCAATTAAAATCATCTGGATGGGGCTATTACATGACAACATAAGGTGTTTGAAACTTATGTGTTTATGACCATTCTGATCAAGCAAATTGCATCTCTTACATCTATGTTCTTATTATGACGGGAAAGAGCCGAATCAGGTTTCGTCATAATGTTTGAATCGTTAGCATCTGCTATTACCTGAATCATAGGACATGATGAAACACACTCTGTTAATGAGTTTCAAAGCCAAATACACCGTAACTTTAATACATGTGTCATTAACTGAGGAATCCCATTACAGTCACGTGTTCATTTTGGGTTGGGTGGGGAAAACAAATCTAAAAACATTTACATTTACTTGAAAGTTGAAAAACAAGAAAATAGACCTAGACTATCACTACTCATTGGAGAATTTTTGTTGTTGATTATGTTGGTAAGAAATGTTTGATATCTCTATTTCAAGATTGTTCAAAGATGCTTGAAAACGTCCATATCCTGATTATTTAAAAACAAAGAAATCTTAGAGAGGAAAAAGGGGAGGCCGGTTTTTAATACTACTGATCATACTTACGTATTGCTTTCCCTCTCTGCAATTGCTTCATCAAGTTTCTGGTTTTCATCCTTTTGTTCCTCCCGCTCCTCTACTTCCGGTTCAAAAGAAACTGTTTTGTTCTTATCCTTGAACTGGTTTTCCTTTTCCATCTTGACAACAAAGGGGAAAACATAAAGTAAGTTTATTTTCTACAAACGTGAATAAGATATATTTATTCTCATAGTCATCTATCGTTATTGGCACTCTTGACATTATTACAGGCAGAAAAGTTAAGATTATCTGACAATATTCGTCTCATAACAGTTTGGGCGCTACATGACGGAATATCAAAGCAATACAGACAGCAAGAAAAGATGATAAGACCTTGACTTATATGACTCAATATGACTAAATCGACGTGCATTGGCAAAACAGTATAATAAAATGAAAAACTATTGATTGAAGATAAATGTTTCCTTTCAAAGCAAGAAATCAACAATTTATTAATGTACATTTTCGAAAAATATATAGGTTTCTTGAACTTTATACCTCGTCTTTCTTGATCTTATCAAAGTTTTCAGGCACACTTTCCATGGCAGGACCATCTGTGTCTTCCACTGAATCCAGGTGACCATTCAGATCTAGTCCTCCCGTACTCAAAGGCTGGTTATAAAAAACATGGAGGGTAACATAGTTCAATTCAAGGTATCTTTACAGTAATCTATTCACATTTGATAAATGTAAAGTGAGGATAGTTTCCTCATAAGTGAGATCATTGTGATTGCATGAGCAGATCACGAAAGATTTAGAGGCTTTCAATTATCATGACCACTGATAATAAAAACAATGTTTTAAAGTCCACTCCAAATTCTATTAAGTTAAACCGAAAATGGAATTTCTTTTTGCCCAATTGATCTTTTGGTATGTCATCGAAGCGAGTAACTTGCAGAGAACAATGAGATAATAGACATGGTCAAAGTTGAGATAACAAAGGCCCTCTCGTCCGATGAATTTATATCGACAATAGTTAACAAGGTCTACAATAAATTTAAAGAGAAGATGACGCAAGAAGTGTACAGTGCGGTGAAACTTGATCTCGAGGGTCAAGAAAAGGAGATACAATCACTGGAAAAGAAAATCAACCACCTAAACAGTATGGTCAGAAAACTTGAAATAGTGTATGAGGAAGCTGAACAATACAGCCGTCGCAACTGTTTACGGATATATGGAATACCGAAAGTGCAAACGAGAACACCGACAACATCGTCATGGATGTCATCAACAACAAGCTGAAACTCGGTATGCCTCCACACATCATCGACAGAAGTCATAGGATTCAGCCCAGGCCTCTAGTTGATAGTTCTTCAGACTCGCAGTGATCAACCCCCAAGCCAATCATTGTCAAGTTTGTGAGATATAACGATCGCCAACAAGTATACAATGCCCGGAAAGACTTGATGAAAACTGCTAAGAAGATCTTCATACGAGAGAGCTTGACATCGAAGAGGCAGCAACTTGTCAATGAACTGGTAAGACATGACTCGGTAAAGAGAGTCTGGACCCAGGATGGAAACATTCGTGTGTTGACTGTCGAAAATGCTAAACGCACGGTGAGGAGCATCCAAGATCTTGAAAATGCAAGGTCATAGTTTCGTTTCTTGTATTATACGTAGGTTTTTTAATCATTGACTATGTTACTTAAATGTCTGCCGAAAATTCAGTATACTTATCACCTTTACGTGCAGCCACCCATAATCTGAAATATCCATGTTTGTCTTGTTCTAAAGAAGTTAAAACCAATCAAAATGCTCTATTACACATATCTTGCAAACGATGGGCCCACTTGGTATGTTCAAGGGTGACTCGTGAAACTTTTACCTCTGATACGAACTGGACACGTGCCCCTTGTCAATTCGATGAACTGCCAACAAATGCATGTATTGATATTGGTATTGATATCGAGTTTGGTTTACCACATCAAAGTGAACCTGCTATGTATAATTATAACAGTATCGACGATGTTTTCACGAAAGTTAATTCGTTTTCTGCCATCATTATTGCCCATCTTAACATTATGTTCATTGTTGAAAAATATTGACGAAGTGCGCAATATGTTGTGCAAGAAAACATCCAAATCTTGTGTCCATGTGAAACAAGGTTATTAGACTCTTCTGTGTCTGATAGTGAGATTGATGTTGAAGGATTTAGAGCTATTAGAGCAGATAGAAACCGAAATAGAGGTGGAATTTTGATATACATGAAAGAAAATATTTTGTTCAACATAAAACATGATTTGACCCTTGACGGTTTGGAATTAATGTGTGTTGAGATATGTATCCATAAACAGAAACCCTTTCTTATTGTGTATTGGTACACACCACCTAACTCACATGCCCGAATTCACAAAGGAGGTTTGTCGACAAACCTCCTTTTGTTTCGACAAACCTCCTTTTGTTTTTTACAAACCAGGGGGTGTTTCATAAAGATGTTCGTAAGTTACGCACGACTTTACGCACGACTGGAACATGTTCTTGGGTGCTAATCAGATTCTCAATCATTTACATGTAGCACAATAACATATCTCCGTATAAATGACGTACATAAACCTCGTTTTGTCGACAAACCTCCTTTGTGAATTCGGGCCATAGAGTGCAGTGTTTGACTTGCTTGATAGCGTACTTCAGCCTATAGAATCATTGTCTAAAGATTTCATTCTCTTGGGAGATCTAAATTGTGATATTGTTAAACAGTCTCCCTCTTACCAAACAAAGCGATTGTTCAGCTTAGTAGAGGAATACGATTTAAAACAACTTGTTGAAAAACCGACGAGAGTAACACAAACATCTGCCACTCTGATAGATGTTTTATACTCCTCAAATCATAAAAAGATCACTTTTTGTGATGTCGTTCCATTAGGCATGAGTGATCACTACATGATAATCTGCTCCTTGGGAAAGCAAAAATCTCCCACTGTGTTTGTCATAAGTTTGTTTATTCAAGAAATCTGAAGAAAATGAATTTAAGTGATTTTTCGAATGATTTGAGCAGTGAATGTTGGCAAAACGTCCTTTTAGAAACTGATGCTAATAGTGCCTATGAAATATGGTGATGACAATTTTGTTCCGTACTGGATAAACATGAACCTCTTAGAAAAAAAAGAGTGCGACAAAAAGAAACGCCATGGATAAATTACGACATATTAAATAAAATAGGATAAAGAAATAAAACGAAAACCCGTGCTAAATTTTCAAAATCAGACGAAGACTGGAAATCGTATCGAAAACTGAGAAATAGTGACCGATATGATAAGAAAGGCAAAAAGGTCATATATCTCTGAAAGTATTTTAAATAACAAGGGAAATTGTGCTGCAATGTGGAAATCTTTACGATGTATGCTGCCAAATAAAAAGAATATGAAAGTGATTCAAAAGTAGTTGTCCATAAATGGTGAAGATATTTTTGGATTTAAGGAAATTGCTACAGCTTAAATAATAACTTTGTTGACATGGCAGCAAATCGTAAACAAAAGTTTACCTTTGGTGATGATTTAGAGCAATATCTGACCACAGTACCAACCACGTTCAGTTTTAAACCGATTTCCTGTCAAGATGTTCAGAAACATATAAATAAAATTGCAAAAAACAAGGCCACTGGCCTGGATCAAATTCCAGCCGGTGTAATTAAAGATGCTATAGACTACATTATTGTGCCATTGACGCATATTGTCAATATTTCTCTGTGTACTGGTAAAATCCCTGTTGCGTGGAAAAAGGCCCGTGTAACGCCGATTTTCAAGAGTGGTGACGTAACAAATCCGTCGAACTACAGACCGATCTCGGTCCTCCCGGTATTGTCTAAAGTATTAGAAAAGATTATTTATTTATTTATTTATTTTGCATCAAAAGAGTAAGCAGAGTTAGAAACAACTATAAACAGAGATTTAAAGTTGATTTCTACATGGTTTTCAAATAATGAATTGCTGATCAATCTCGATAAATGTCAATTAATGCTACTAGGCTCTAAAGAAAAACTCCGGTTATATGAAAATGTAAAAATCAAAATTCAAAATTCTCAATTACAGAGAGTAACATATTGTTAATACAGTTTTACAGAATAGAGCGTTAAGGTCCGTTTTAGAGGTAAATAATCGTTTCAATAGAGCCACTTTGTATAACACGCTAAATGTAGATCAACTCGATGAAAGATGGAATAAGCAGTCAATTTTACTTATATTCAAATTAGTTAATAACATAGCCCCACCCTCACTATGCTCACGGATCCATCTTAAATCACACAACTACCTGTTACCTAATATCGATTGCCAAATTCAACTGCCACGACCACATACAAATTACCACATAAAGAGCCCTCTCTATTCAGCCGGAAAACTTTTCAATAACCTACCGGCAAACATCCGATTAGAAAATAGCCTGGGAACATTCGCACGTCTTATATCCCTCTCTTAAATAATACACCCCCTCCATCGTTTCTGTTATCCAAGTAATTTTTAATTCATTTTGTTTGTTTTCATTCTTATTATGTTGTTATGATAATTTGTATGATTTATTTTGTATATAATTTTGTATTCGTTTACTTGTTGTGTTCAATTGTTGCTCACGGCCTTGCTGAGAAGCAGCTTCTAGCTGATAGCAGGCTTTTTAACCGTGATTAAATAAATAAAATACAAAAAAATACAATACACAAAAAAATGCGGCCGGGAGGCGGACGCTCTACTGACTGACCCAACACACCGGTATATTATGAGTAATAAGATATATATGAGTAATAGTTCATTATTCATTTCATGAAATCACCTGTGGGATCACTAATCAAGCTAATGGTGAAAGTACAGTACAGGATGATAAAGTTCAATTCCAAAACTTCTCAATCTTAGGGCTGATCTTAAATGAATGTTAGATGTGAAATAATATTAAAAACAACTGAAATATTCTTCGAATATAAGGTATTGAGCTAAACAAAATGTTACCGGAACAGATTATTGTCTTCTGATTGTGAAGAAATAACTAATGTTTAAATTACCTAATATTGTATAGCAATCTCTATTTAAGAAGTGGGATCATGAGTTACGAGAGACGATAGTCTAGCAATGATTTAGGTTGTTTCCAATCCTTACCTTATTTTGGTTTTTAACGATTTTGATCAGATATGTTTTGATTCCTGCTTGTTTGATGCTGTCACTCCTTGTGTCTCCTTCACCAGGCTCTACGTCAAACTCTCCATTCAGACAGTCGAACGTGGTCTGTGATATGTGAACACGACTGGTATACAAAATAAAAAATGAATACCGATTAGATGAAACGTTCACACTTTTAAATGATTTTGAACAAATCAAAAATTATGTCTTTTAAATCATCAGTTGTTTCTAACATTCTATACCTCAACAAGCTAGGCGTCAAACTCTTCGTTTAGACAGTCGTATGTGCTCTGTGATATGTGAACATGACTGGCATAGAAGTGAGAAAATAAGTATAGATTTGAGGTAGCATTCACATCTCAGTTAAATCTGAACAAACAAGAATTGTAAATTATAAAAACAGCTCTCCTTCAACAACCTTTTGATGTAAGTTGTTTGGAAATATGTGATATTTGTAACATGACCCAGGGCAAATACCATACTGTTATATTGAACAAGTATAGGAATAACTGAAGAATCGCATGCTAAATTTATCTCCTCGTTTTTCCTCCTATCGAATGGTGACCATAGAAAATATATAATATTTGAATTTCGCATGAATAAATAAAAATGCTATAGATCCTTTTAGGCTATAACTTATTTTAATTGCATGTGGCAGCTAGGAGGCACAACAAAGTTGAAACATTGTCACTTTATACCGTTATTATAATTGGATACCAATCGTAAATCAAAGTCACAATTTAGCCAGGAGGTTTACGTCTCATTTTGCCCGAATATCACATTTCCAGTTTCTGAAGGGAACTAGTACTCATGAAGAAAATTTAAATTTTTAATGGCCTACGTGCTACTGTCAAGGCTCGTTCAGACTAAAATGTGAAACCTATTATAATTATTTATGTCATTTTCATTTTAAAAAACCTTTTACTGCAGCGTATCAAGAGGCTTTAAAGGTGCACTTTAAATACCCAATGTTCCATATTTTTACATCGCCAACCGGTTGTTTTGCTGCCGATTGTCGATTGCCGATTGTCAGGTGAGGCACGGATGAGTGCGATTCAAAGGTGAAATGGTCTTTACATTTCTCTTTAAGGCATGAAAACTCTTTTATAAAAGTTTGTAAAGTTTATTACTCTCATTACACAAGTTTTTAGAGTTTTACGAAAAAAAGATAAATGAATCGACTACATCACGTACATCACGTACTTAGTCAATAAGCATTATCCATCATGATTTTTTTTACGAGAATTGGAAATAAAATGAATGAATGAATGAATGAGCAATATCACCATGCAAGACACAATTTTATTTATGTCTAAATTCTATTTGTTAATTTTGCTAACTTGTGTTCACTAATGTAGGTTCCTTTTAGTTGTCTACTGGCAAACCTCGAGAAAAAACTATAAGCCATAACTCGCCGTTGAAAGGCATGATGAATAGGAAACAAAAGTTATTGATTATAGGTTATGCTCATATTGACTATTCAATACGTCAACGATGAAAATAGGCTTCTAAATCGTTAAAAAAAATAGCAAGCTTATATAAAAAGATCATAAATTAACTATTTAGTTGAGGTTTGTCATTAAAATTTGTACTTTAGATTATCAAGGCGTTTTATTAGCTGCACATCCGGCGAATTTGGCAAATCTTTAACTGAAGACATTTGAATAATAAGAGACTTGTCATCATAGGAGAGAGGGGGAAGTACAAACCTTTGCACCCCTTCCTGTTGATTCTTGAACCCTATCTGCGTTTTAACATTCTTGTATTTTAATTCATTTTTTAATCTTTTATCTTAATTTTAATTTTTGGCGATTTTCAAAAAAAAATTAAAATAATTTGTTTAAATAATATTGTGATGCAGTTTGCCCTCCCGATTTGCAACTCCAGTTGTCACTACCATGTATTCCTAAGAAGAGATTATCATTATCATACACACTTTTTTCTGTGATATATACACACAGCAACTCATATCTACATGCATACCCACCGAAACGGACATACGCACACGCACACGCACACGCACACGCACCAATATTCACACACATCCACACTCCCTTTGGATACAATAACTCACCCAGGTACTCCGCCGGATTCCATGTTGTTGGCTAACACAACGTCTGTACTCCACACATCAAACTGCCATCGTTTCTGTCCCATCACCCCCGCCAGCACGGCCCCGGTGTGGATGCCTACTCGCATGTCCACACCCGACTGGGTACTCTTCCGAACAGCGCTGTGGAAGTTGACACAAATATATACACACACATTCAATGGACTATTCCTCAGTCAGGTTGAAATGTTATTGTACTGTCTTGTGAACTGTTGTTTTTTAGTCCTACTAGCAACGGTCATTATCTGCTTCTTAGTTTGCATTTCGTTTTCACAACATATCAAAATAAAAGGGCACTAAGTATTCCCATGGGTACGTTTAAGCATGCTTAAACTTTTTGAACTATTAGTAGGAGACCAACCTGTAGGTCCCGTGACTAATCTCTTGGAACAAAGGTTTGAAAGTGTTTTTGTGTTCCCTGATAAATACCGAACAATTTTGACTTGGGCTGTCCCCTTGAAAATCCCAGGCATTTTCGTGAGGGGTCAACAAAGGTCACCCTGGAATAGAAATTTAAATAGTTCCAATCGTGTCAATATGCATATCAAATTACTCGTCTGGTCACGAGGATTCCAAAAAATGTATAGTTTGCTATACCTCCGACCTTAAATGAGGGCGCTATGGTCAAAAACATTGAAAGGTCAACACACTTTTGACTGGTGGTCAAATTCACCAACACAGTAAACCTTATTAAATTGCATATCAAATTACTCGTCTGGTCATAAGGATTTCAAAAATGTATAGGTTGTTATACCTCAGACCTTAAATGAGGGCGCTAGGGTCAAAAAGGTCAATGCACTTTAGAAATTCTCCAACACAGTTAACATTGTCCGATTCTAATGATTTTAGTGTCTAATAATATGGTTTGTGACATTACAAATTCAACTAAGCAACTTTTAAAATCAAAAGTGGTTGCCATAACCTTGAAATTTCCCCCAAACCCATGGATAAGAAGTTGTTAGATGTTTGTCACTGAAACGGCAGCCATTTTGAATGTACATGGTCAAGGTAAGCACTTTACTTTTGAAAGTTGTATAGTTGAATTTGCCATGTAAGAAAACATATTATTAGACCCTAACATCATTAGAATCGGACAATGTTACATGTAACTGTGTTGGTGAATTTCTAAAGTGCATTGACCTTTTTGACCATAGCGCCCTCATTTAAGGTCGGAGGTATAACAACCTATACATTTTTGGAATCCTTATGACCAGACGAGTAATTTGATAAGCAATTTGATATGGTTAACTGTGTTGGTGAATTCGACCACCAATCAAAAGTGTGTTGACCTTTCAATGTTTTTGACCATAGCGCCCTCATTTAAGGTCGGAGGTATAGCAAACTATACATTTTTGGAATCATCATGACCAGACGAGTAATTTAATATGCATATTGACACGATTGGAACTATTTAAATTTCTATCCCTGTGTGACCTTTGTTGACCCCTCACGAAAATGCCTGGGATTTTCAAGGGGGCAGCCCAAGTCAAAATTGTTCGGTATTCATCAGGGAACACAAAAACACTTTCAAACGTTTGTTCCCAGAGATTGGTCACGGGACCTACAGGCTGGTCTCCTACTATATATCAAAGTTTTTCATTCCTTCAGAATGGGTCAGATTTACAACGTCATTGAACAAAAACCGTTGCACGCCTGACACATTTACAAGGAAGGTCAATATTTTCAAATACAAAAAAAGAGCGTCCCAACATATTTTAAAGGAACGACATATCACCAAAAAAGAGTCTACTGTTCTTGTACAACTGCACCCTGCCCAAACCACTCATACAAATGCATGAAGTCCAAACTGGAAGCATAAACACTTGTGAGATTATTATTAATGTTAAATTCATTGACGTATTTGCATTGGGCTCCTTCCCGAAAATGAAAAGCTAGTTGTACTTCTGCAACCACCAATCCAATAATAAGACCCAATGAAAAGTGCAGTAAAAATGAATAATTATAATTGAAAAGAATTGTTACTTACGCGATGGCGACTACCATGTCGAGACCCATCTGGACGCTGCAGACGGCGTGATCTATCCGCTGTTCAGGTACCCCACAGATACAATAGTAACAGTCACCCAGGATTTTGATACGCAACTGGTTGTTCTTCTAAGAAGGGTTAAACAAAAATGGTAACGAAAAGAAATGGTTTGTTTATTTTCTTATTTTGTAAATGTTTTATTGTTTTTATCACACATTTCATTGTATGATATGTATAGTAAGGTGTGTTAGTAAGTGTTGAAGCAATGATTATCTTGCCGGGGGTAGGGGACATATATCCGACTCAGGTTAGCAAAAGGTTATTAAATGTTTGTTTGCAGCTTTTTTAATGAGAAATTCTCTGATATGGAAAGTAAACACAAAATTGGGAGTGGGACTACCTAAATTTGCTGCCCATTAGACAAGATATTAGGGGGTGCAAGTCTACTTAAGGACCGGTATGCATATTGGGATTTGTCAGGGGGCATTTGACTTTAAACCTGGAAACACCACTATATCTAACCCTAACCCCATCCCTAAACCTATCCCCAAACCCAATTGCCTTCTTAAAAAAACCCAACCCTATGATGGCCATTATGAACATGATGACATTGCAGATGAAAATGACATAATTATCTATATAATAATGAATAACAACAGTAATAATATTTTTAAAAACAAAGAAGAAAAAGAAGAAAATAATAATAATAATGTTATTGATTAGCTGGTTATCTAGATAATAATACCAGTTTGGATCATGGATATATTGTATATATTCACTAAACATGATTCGAATGATGAGGTCGTTTGACTCACCTCGGCTAGTTTATCAAAGTTGGCAAAAAGGGCATTGAGTGTCTTGACCAACTCCTGAGCGGTCATCTTGCCCGACATGGCCGTGAAACCAACAATGTCCGCAAAGAGAATACTGGGGGGAAAAAAAGAAAAGAAAACGAGAGAATGATAAAATATTGAATGATGTCGTGGTATATAGGGTCATTTACTTGGCTCTCAATCCAAAGTTTGAGGATTCGAATCCTAGCCCTTACGTCCTTTGGCAAGACGTTAATCCACTCTCCCCTCGGGTGTAAATGGGTACTGGCATTTGCTGGGGGTAATAAGAATACTTTTGGAGGGCCCTCAGGAAGAGCAGTATTTTTATTTATTTATTTTGTAAAATGAATTTATTGATAAATATATGCTTTTGGACAAATTGAACAATCATACACAATCAATTGGAATAACATCGTAGCATCTTAACATAGTTCAAATAAAACATGTTTCGTTTTCTTGAATAACAGTGTTTTAAAAATGCATAGCTTTTTTATTTTACAGTACTTTTCGATCTTGAATCGGTTGTGGATTAATCTTTTGAAAATTCAAAGAATAGAGACTTCATGAAGCAAGGAAGAGCAGTATTAATATTGATGTGGATACCCTGGGTAAATCAAACCAAATTATTATTATCATCATTTTGTTAAAAAACCAAAAAGTTTCCAACTAGCTAACCTTCTGCCGACAAGCAAGAGAAGGTCTTAGAAGGCTGAAAGCCTACAAAAATCGAGAGTTATGTGTCCCAGTCTTTCTAAGAATTACTTGGAACCAAGGCTCTTAACCTCTTATAGGATCCAGATATTTTTGTGCAGGGAACCCTCTGTCTTGTTAGCCATTGTTCTGTTGGATCTTCTTCCGCCTTGCTAACGTACATGCAGTTCGATGTTCCATCCGTATATCGTTGTTCACAATCACATTACACTTCAATGTCAAATCAGCAATACAAACTGATAATAATTTCATATCTTTCTGAATTTTAGAGTTTTAACATCTGAAGGTCTATCAACTTACGCCAATATTTCATATATTAAGACGATGCTTTCAGATTTTAAATCGTATTTTGATTTTCTAAATTGACATTAAAAAAGATAATCAAATGCATTAAGTAAACCAGAAGAAATGACAAGATATTAATCTTGTTAAACAGCAAAATTAAACCTGACAACGTCATTAAACAAAAACCGCGGCAAGCCTGACACACTTACAAGGAAGGTCAATACTTTCAAATACAAAAAGTCGTCAAAATCGACACTTCTACCCAGGAAACGGTTCTTGTGGAAGGAAAATTAACAAGAAAATCAATCATCAACGACGTATTTCAGCTGTGTAACACCTCCCGCCTCAACAGACAGGGAAACATCTAGCAATGAAGAAGAGGGAGAAAAAAATCAAATATAAGACCGAAGATTTTATTTGTACTGTTTCTAATAAAATTTAGTTTCTACGACTTTGCCTGATTTGACTTCCCCCAACGCCGATAAAAATCTTGATTAATAATTGATTTGCTTTAATTTGGTTACGATGGCGACAGGAAGGAAGGAAGGGAGGTCAAAGAAGGTAGAGCAGCTGGCGGTTGAGGGTCTCGGAAGGAAATGAGAATTCAATACAAATTAAGACTTAGCTACTGGAAATCAGTTAAGACTTAAGATGGACTGATTTATGAAAATGGTATGTTGAAAGGTCACGAGAAATAAAGATTAACATTTATAACAAGCAACCTTTAATTGCTAATTCAACTATAAAGAAAACCTAAGGGATGGATGAAAAAATCATCTTCATCCAATATTTTTGTCTTACCGAAATATTCTTAGGATAAAATCGTACTCCTCATATTCTGAGTATGCTCGGCGATTTCAAAATGAAGATAAATGCAAATACACATTTGAATGATACGACTGTTAAGTGAACCAGTTTAACATGTCGTTGTCGAAAAGACCGGATGAAAAACTATTATTTTTAAAAAGAAGAAGAAAAAAGAAATTTGGACAAAGAAAGATATATCCGTAATGTTGTGCCGCTATGCATCAATTCTGGAGGAGATATAGAATACAGATCACGCCATTCAGATAATCGGAAGTTATTGTAGTAAAGTTTAGTAAAGGGTAAAGAGGGATAGAAGATGAGAGCAAGAAAACAAATCAATACAGGGAGGAAGGCGCTAAATTAAACATATCAAGTCATGTGTATTACTAATTAGGGATAGACAGCGAGAGATTAACATCAGTTGAGAAAGGGATTGAGAGAGAATTTTTAAAAAGAAGGATATTTTGTGATTCAAATGATTTATTGAAAACTCCGTAAGAACACTGACATGAAGCTCAAAATGTAGATTTAAGTTTCAATTGTGAAGGCCTTGTAGGCAAAATAAATAAAATCAAGTTGAAATATTTTTTTTGATAGCGCTTGATATTTGAAACAGAGACGTTAAAGTGTTAATTAGACTTGATATGTAGCATCGTGTTTGTCCCCGCAGTTTTTATTTTTCCTTTAATTATGTAGTTACTACTTCGGCTAACGAGTTCCAAAGGTCATTACTGCTCACCGCATGAGAAAGTGGAGAGGACTTAGTAAATGATCTTTGGGGTGCGACGATGAGAGATACTTGATAGATGAGTGGATGGTGTTTTTACCTTGCATTTATAAGTGTTAAGTGGTAGCTTCTGAAGATGGTGTTTTGTGGAGAAAAGTAAACATGGACTTGCCCCTGAATACGTGGACATAGAACTTAATGTGGGGGGCATGGAAGAGATGTGGCGCGCCCGGTTGTTTTAAATCGTAGGTTAAGTCAGAAAGTAGATCGGCTCAATAAATTAATTAAACAAATTAATAAAATAAGCGGTGTAGATAGACTTTTCGCAGTACATCAGAATGATCAGAAATGTATCGACAGAGAGTGAGAGAGAGAGAGAGAGTGAGAGAGAGAGAGAGAGAGAGAGAGAGAGAGAGAAGGGGAGAGAGAGAGGGGGAGAGGGAGGGAGGGAGGGCTCAGCTACGGAGAGCGAGGAGGGGAGTGAGTGTACTCCTGAAATAAGGCAAGATATTTATAAAGATAGAGAAGGGCGAGAAGAAGGGAATGAGAAAGACAGACACACACAAGACAAACAGACGCAAAGACAGAGAGTAAATTGGAGAGCTCGGAATGAAACCTTTTCATTAACTTTATTGAGAGGTATCCTAAATCACAAGCTCGCATGCACGCAGGCTTTATTAGCCCGCCCTACAAAAAATAAATGGAACAAATGTCGAGGTACAGACGCCAAATCCCGACTCGGATCCATTGTTTATTTTCATCCCCTCCCTTCAATCACAAGGCTCAATGTGCCATGGCTTAACATGAATATATTTCCGGGCGCACATGCAATTTACCCTTCGCGATCCATTTTTAGATCATTCAGACATTCTAGACATACTTTGACCCATGCCATATCTTATATTCATCAGTCTTTTAGGAAATGTAAGCCAATTTGGTATTCAACAAGTATACGATAAAATACCACCTTTTCTTGAATAGAGTATACCCTTATGAGAGGATGAAATACTTTTCTCAAAATAGAATAGTTTTGAATTGCCATAATTTTTATAATAAAAGACAAAGATTAAAAATTAACACGCCAGCTTTGGATTAGCCCCACTAGAAGCATCTTTAGGGGTGGAACACTTTCGGGACAACATTTCTTACAACTTTTTAGTCATTATTTGTTAACAAGTCAAATAAAGTTTGTAAACGCACTTTCGATATTTAAGTGCTTTTGAAAATCATCCTATCCGGTTCAATATTGCAAAAGGAATTCTTAATTGTTAATTTTTTAACTACTACATAGCCTATTATAATTTATTAATACATTTGGAAACTATAGGAAGCAATAGTGAGTTACTTTTTAAGTGTTAACTAGCGACATCCCCACCCCCTATTTCTCCGAATATATGTATAGAGATTTCTTAGCAGGTAAGCGTTTGCACAAACACTTTTTTTTAAAGGTCGTTAACATTATTATAACTTTTTTAACTGACGCTAAACAAAATAATCGATCATTTTCAAAAGAATTCCGCTATGTTCAATATGAATATACACTCTTGGTCGTGTTGGTGGTTTGTATGTCAGCATCATCAAAGGCAAACATAAATTGCCCACGGCAGATGGCCTTTTATCCATAAACCCGATATACACAGGAGATACCTATCCCGACTAAGCTAACATTGAAAATCAATCAAAATTTAAAAACTCTCATCTTTCTACCCTTCTTCTAAAATCCCTTAAAATTTCATTCCCATTTCTAACTTGATCCAAGATTATTGCCTGCGAACGTTTGGGACGTGTCTGTGAATATCCCGCTTAATTCAACAAGAGACATTGCCATGGAAACCTATGATCGTCAGTCAGTGTTTATTGTATGTCACTCATCTTGTGGTGATATTCAAGGGAATGGACGAGAGGCAATAAATAAAGAGTGATGGGGGAGTTTAGATAATGAACATGAATGTCTGCAATGACCTATAGAGAAAGAGTCTGAAGCGCATTGGCGGAACTGGAGGATAAGGGGGCACGTGCCCACCCCCCCCCCCCCCAAGAAAAAAGAGTCTTACATAATATGGAAGGAAAGTGTGCCCTCTAAAAATGTGGCCCGAACCAAAGTTTTAGACCATAAAAAGACAATACAACACCTTTTAAAAAATGAGCTTAAGTTATTTGTTAGAGAATTTATTAATAAAAAGAGCACTACAAATTGTGATGACTTTCTCGTTTTTTTGTATGTTAACATATCTATTTCTGCCTGCTTGCTTGACAAAGATTTTTTCCGCACCTCCCCCCAGCCCTCCCCCCCCCCCCCCTTATTCTTCAGCAAGAGCTGCTGGACTCGCCCTGGAAGAACGAGACGTTCATCCGCCGTGTCTACCTTTGGGCATATGCGACAGACTCCATTGGAACAAATTGGAAGAAAATTAAGTGAAAAGAATTTTGAGATCAAGTCTTTGGAAATGTGAAGAAGGTTGCAAGGCATCACTACTTGGATAGTGAAAAGACTTACTGCGGTATATTGGTCAGCTCTTGCTACTCTCATATCAGAGAGACTAGGTTCGATTCTTGTTTGGTTC